CATTTCCACACTTACTTTGACGTGAACAGATTAAATTTGAAAAAAGGAACAGTTTCCAATCAATTTGGAGAGTTTAAAAGAAAACATTATTGTAAAATAACAGGAAGATTTTGATTGATCAGCTTCAACAAGATGGTGTCTTTCATTTTTATTTTTAAAGGCTCGTTTTACAATTAACAGATTTCTGTTCATTTCACACTTGTAAAACAATCACATTAGTCTGGCTCTGACTTGCTGGAAATTAAAATGCTACGATAGGTTATTAAAGGCATCCAAAAATAAAACAAGTTCACAGCTTTTCGTGGTGGATCAAGATCACTCTCATCATAATGATAAAAATTGTAACATTACATTAAATAGATGACTGACATGCTTGCTACATTAAAACGTCAATGAGAGAAGTAACTGACAAGCATACATTTGGCTTAAATATCATGGAGATATTTATCAATACTAGTGGTAAGCCTGTATAATTATTAACAAAAAATATCCTTTGAAGGAAAATGACAAGGCAGGTGACAAATGACAAGAGGAAAGTTATATTGGGTTTGACCGCAAATTAGAGAAAAGAACAGGATTAGCATGGCTTGTTCTTTTGTTTTACAAAATGCAGGAAAAACTAAGTCTGGGAAATACGCTGAAATCCCTGTTGTCAATGGTTATCTTAACACCAAAGTCAAAACAAATTAACAAAACTTATTAAAATTACTTATATAATGCCATTATTTTTCTCTACCTAATCAAAGAACAATCATATAAACATTAATTCTAAAACATACACACTAAACATGACATTTTTCACAATTTTACACGACAAAGAAATGCATTTTGATCTTAAAATTTTCCAGGATGATCAAGGACCCTCAATTATTACAATTATTCAGTAACGTTTGTAATACTGACAATTAAAACAAAATTACAAAAATGCATTCTTTAAAAAACTAATTTTTATACAGTTGCTCACATCACAGCATTGTTTCCCGAACTTTCTGAAACTCAACAGCAAATAAGAAACCATCAAAATACATCTTATGCATTAGCATGCAACAATTGTAACAGTTTTAAAAAATAAAAGTCAATGTAATCGCATGATTCTAAATAAACCAAAACCCTTATTGGTAGAGTCACAACAGAAAACAATAGTATGCCAACTTATATAGACCAGGTGGTACGGAAGAGTAAGCTCTCTCTGCTTTATCGATGACACCTGCCATATTAATCTAAGTCAATCCTAAAAACAAACATCACATTATAAAAATGTAAACCGGGTTCGTGACAATGAAACCATGAAACATGCTAGCAAGCACCATACACATCTAACCTTTAATTGCACATGGTAATAAAACTATTCTCAATGAGATCATGATGAATCTTAATTTTTCAAAAAAAATTATTACTAAATGCAGTAACAGACTTTGGTATATCATTCAATCAGAATTGCTGTTATATATCATCCATGTGTGATAATCCAATCAGGCAAGCTGTCCTATATCGTACATTGTGTGTCCTAATCCAATAAGACATGCTGCTACACCATCGAGCCAGTTACTTTCACAGGACATTTTGGCTATTTTGTAGGATAAACATATTAACAAAAATTTAACATAGGAAATAATTAGAGTATATCATAACAATAATAATTTTAAAACAAAATCATGAAAAATGAAAAGCCATATGGTATGTTGTACATGATGTGTGAAAATTCAGGCAGATATAATGCTCTATCAGACATGATATGTTATACATTGTACATTATGTGTGATAATCCAATCATAAATGCTGTTCTATATTGTACATGATACTTGAATTACCATCCAATCAAACATGATGTTACATATTGTAGATTATTTGTGATTATTATCCAATCAGATATGTTGCTTAATATATTGTGCATGATGTATGATAATCTAGACGTTTTGACATCACACTCGACCCAGATTTACTGTTCCGTTTTGGATAAATGGAAATTGATTGAAAACTTAAAAGGTACACTGCATCTTTAATGACTGGAACAATGATTCATTCAAAACATATCAACATATCAACATGTCAACATGCCAACATGTCAACATATCAACATGTCAACATGCCAATGTCACATAAAAAAGCCCAGTAAATCTTAACTAAAAAAAATATACTATAAAAATCTTGACCAATACAGTTTGGTCTTCAAAAAATATAAACTCAAGTCAAACTAAGACTGAAGTTTCATAGATACTTAACTGTTAACATGATGTTGTAGATACATTAAAAATCACACAAAAAGAAATCTTATATAAATGTCTGGTCATATTGAACTTATATTTTAAATCGGTATTTGAATAGTTTATTTGAAAATTGATCACCACATCAGCATACATCAATGTTTGATGCTGAAGGTGATATCATTTTTGTGCGTGTCTTGGAACCTTTTCTTCAGGTTTGTAATTTCAATAGAGGAATCATTCTTATAACAAACCAGTAGAAGAATTAAGTGTAATGTTTTTTAAGGACTACATGGTAACCTTCATCAGACAAATGACAAGTGTGTAGCGTACTAGCACTGAGGTAAATAGTGTACCAGATGGTAGGGAATAAAAAAACTAGGGAAAAAGTACACAAGATAGTAACAATGTATTGTAGTGGATTCGACTACGCTTTACTAAACACTTGGTCATAGATGTGCAAGAGTATAAACTAATCGTGAGGTTATCGAGCGACATTCAAGACAATAAACACGCAAATATAGCACATAGATCATTCAACATGGCAAAAGACGGCAATTTCATGAAAAATGAAAATTAAAAAAAAAACACAAATAGGGATTGGATTGGAATAAAAACATGCTTAACAAGTAGGTAATTCACATTTCTATCATAAAGCTTACAGATCGCAACAAAACAGTACTAGCTAAGGGTTTAAATTATTCCATCATCCCTGACAAAAGACAAGTTGGTAATTTTAACACAGCAAAGAGCAGGCATGTAAGAATTTGAGGTAAGCTGAGCCTGGTTAACAGAGATCACAAACGACAGGTGTCTTAAACCTTCGAAATTAATAGCAAACAACACATCAAAGGAAAAACATATTGCACTTAAATAATTGAGCAAGGACACATCTATCATGGTTTTACCAACAGACAACTGGAAACAGCCATTATAGACATGGACAAATATGAGGAAAAAATTGTGACTCGCCTCAAACACAACAAACGTAACAAACAAGAAAAACAAAGTTCAAAAAGGGCTTGGTAGTTATCTTATCAAAACTAAAGCAAGAAAACAAGATCAGTGAATCCCAATTTAGACACCTGTATCCAACTGTCTTACTGGTTCCTTTGCTTACAATGTCTCCAGGTAGCAAGCTTACATTCAAGGACGAAATCAGAACATCATAGCAATAACTCAAAAGATCTTGCAGCAAGTATGTCCATGGTGCTTATCCTAAATGATAAGGAATTGATTCCACCAACACACCCACTGACAAACACTTGATTTCATTTTGAGCTGGCTAGAGCACGACCGATCATGGCAAAAGAACACCAATCTCCATCCCCAAGACATAATGAATTTACAAGTGTATAAGAATTTGAACTTTCAACAACATACTCTGCTTTCCGAGATACCACCTATCAGCAATGGTTTGGCACAGCCACGGCAGCCAACTGTCTCCGATTGTGGCCAACTTATTGATGGAGCAATTGGGGAAAGAGGTTATAGCCACAGCCCTCGTAAATGGGAGCCTAGTCTGTAGAAGTGGTATGTTGATGACAAATTGGAAATAGTCAAGAAAGGGTCAAAGAGAAATTGGAATGTGCATATCGTTACCATAGATACTACCAACAGCATCAGATTCACATGTGATGAAGAAGTCAATGGTGCTATGCAATTTCTTGACACATCCTAGTAAAGAAAGATGATGGTACTTTCAAAGTATTGCTCAACAGGAAAATGAAGAACAAGTAACCTCAACTTTTTACCACACTTCTTCTACACCAGAAGTTGGGCATTTTTTTTTTCTAAAATCTCCTTACATCTCGTCCAAATATTTTAGACCTTAGTGTGCATAGAGCTATAGTATAGCCAAAAACGTTGGTAGATTCTTTTTCAATTTATACACTACATATGTACCAGGTAAGTGCTAGTATGATTCTTATTAGTAATTTGTCTGATGAAGGTGACTGTGTAAGTCATCAAAATGTCACACTCAGATCATCTGTTTGCCATTTGAAGTCAGTTCAATATTTTCTGAATACTGTTCATGTAACATGTGGTCATTTAATTGCTACACATTGGACAAAGGAAAATTGTTCCAAGACAGGTCTTAGATGGTGAACTTGTTAAATGTTCAAATCATGCAGATTTTTCACAGATTGTTGCAAGTGCATCGTGAATTGCCATGAAGCAAGCAGAACAAATTTTATTCACTGGCAAGTCAAATGTATGTATCCTTATATCATAAATATGGTCTTCACTACTGATTAAGACTTTAAAGCAAACACATGTTATCTCCATACAGATAACTATGGTTCTGTAAATGGGATGGACAATATAATGTTTGGCAATAAGGTAAGGAATTAATATCAATGAAATGAGAAGATGATTAATATGAATGCATGGTGTTTAAACAATTGAACATTACATTATGACTTCACAAGAAAATGAAAGTAATTTTTATGGATATGTTGTTTTAAATTTGCTTTAGATGACTCACAAAAGTCATCATCTGTTTTGATTACATGATTAAAGTGCAAATCATGAAGGTAGCAATGGATAAAAGCAATTTCCTGCTGTGTCTCAAAGCTATTAGATACTTTCAATTGAACAAGAAAATCCTAAAAATACAATATTGTGTTAAGAACTGGTGTAATTTATTAATTGGAAGATTTGCACTTGATCCCAATAATAGTGCAGTGAAACCCACTTTATATCATGTTCTATTTGTCAGGGGGAATTGTGATAATAAGTGGAACGTGATATTAACAGACATGACATTAAGTGGGTTCCATTTTATATCACATTTTAAACTTTTAAACACAGAGTATTTTTGAACTACTTCTTTCTACCTAATAGCTTTATAGTCTGGGGGTTTATGTCTGTAGAATTCTTCTGATGACGATCCCACCAAGAAGCCTTCTCTTCTGTCAAAATAAAACCTGAAAAGTAAGACCATATATTAAAATTAATATCAACTTTGTCATTTGTACTTACAGAAAGTTATTATGTATTTCCATTTATTATCTCTTACATATTTTTTATTGAATTCAAAATGAATAAATTTAATGTTTATATAGGCATATGTATCATATATACATTTTATTATTGAACAAAACTGTCAGTTTGAACAGAGGGTTACTGGCATTTAATGTTACTATTTTGACACTATGACAATGCTGATTTGAACAAATTTGTGGTGTACAAAGTCCATGAACAATAAATCCTCTTCGCTTTAAATTTTAGGCTGCAAAACTGTAAAAACTTGAAACATTAAAATGACTTGAGGTTTATAATTCTATAAATGAAGTAAAGGTACTTAATTATTTTTTGTTTTGATTTTAAAGATACACCCTTTTCAACACAGTCTTGCACACCATTGCTAATTTCCAAGTTTGTAACCAACAGATGTTAAGCAATATGCTTGTGTCGATCCTGTTAACAGAAGAGGCAATTTTTTTTGACATTAGGTTTCCTTTTATGGGCTACATATATTTGAGTGACAAGACATTAAGTACAACACACATTTTCACGACGTGACATTAAATGTGCACCCAAGTTTTAATGACAAGGCAGTTATTGCCATAAACAGTTTGAACACAGATAGAACTAATTCTGCTTGCCTTATTCATCTCCAAAGGAAGGATCATTGTACATTTCTGATCTGTCACGGGATATGTTTATTGATTTATACGGGAGGGAGAAAAGCTGGCGGTTCTCAAGGGATAAGCTTTACACTGAAAAGTGTCAGAAATTCAGTATCTTATATCTGCAGATGACAGAAAGAAGAAGTAATTTTAGTCAAACAATCTCCTGATCTTTACAAGTAATCTTCTCAATTGATCATTTCAGAAATCATTTCAAGAATCATACATGGAAAATAGATTTTTAGTAAATATGGAAGAATATGGAAGTTATCCACAGAGAAGAATATTTTCATGAACAGATTATCATCCGTTCATTTCTAACATCAATGCAGTAAAAATCTGCTTCTGCCTGTTGAGTCATAACATGCAGGAAGTACTCAAAGTAGTTATTATCTGTTTTAGCGATAATTCTGTAAGGAGATGTCGTATACATCCTAGATCACAATAAACCATGACATGAAAATGTGTGTACTATCAAACAGTTCATATAAACAGCTATATACAGGTACAGTTTTAAAAGATCATTAGGAATTCATATAAAGGCATTAAAGAAAAGAGGACTAATTTTCAAGAAAAGTATGAGAAGGACTTTGTTTCTCATTCTCAAGGTAAACATTTTTTTCTTTCTTTCTTTTTATTTAATTCTGCCCTCAGAAACAGTGAATGATATAGGACCTATCAAAATTAACTAAAATAATTTAAAAAGTAAAACAAAAATGATAATTTTTTTTTCTTCCAGAATTTCTCCAAAAGTCTGCCTTCATTCATACAACTTCTATTGAATATTATTCTTCACAAATATATCTTCTTCAAAAAATTATTCAATAAGAGACAATTAAGTATTAACAGAAATAATGTTAAATTTGAGGCAGACCTCAACACTGCTTTAAATCAAAAGCATTTCAGTTTTATTTACAATTTTCAAAATTAACTTAATTAGATAAGTTCAACAATGTTTAGTAAAAGAGTGTATTTTCATGTATAATTCTGTTCAATTTCAAAGACACTTAGGGTAAAAATGAAAATTTTGCTCTATAAAATTCTATTAAATCAATACAATATCATTACCATTTCATTATACTAGAATGGATTAATATAATATTGTGTTTATCCTTGTGGTTTTTCTGGGTAGAAAGGTAAAATGCTCTTTGAAATTGGCATGGAAGTGAAAACACTGACATACTTTTTAAGGTATATGGCAAATGAACTACACACGGCTGTTCCTGGAGGAATACTCTACCTCACATTAGATCATATTCAGTACACAATGAACCAAATTCAAGGATAGAATTCAGCACCATAGTGTTGTACAAACAGTAATGATTCCTAAGTGTTTACCACTGTATCTCTATTTCATAGCCACAAGCTGAAAGGTGTTCAGTTCTTGATAATTCCATAGACATGAAAAAACTGTTAAATCTATTTCAAGCTCACAAATGAAATACAAAGGATATTCATAGCACTGTTAATGAATCATGTCGCTTTTATGGGATTTTAATGGCCATATATTCTATTCCTCAGCTAAGAATTAAAATCCCTTAATTTCATGGAGAAAAATATTAAATTTTGATCAAGCACTTAAAATTCATGGACTTGAATATCATGTTAACTTGGGCTGCCTTCATTGCCATGAATCTTTATTAATTCTTGTTTTCTTTACTTAATTCAGTACGTCAGGGCTCTTCATAATGGGTATTCCATTGTCTATTTCATGGACAATTTCAATGGATAATGTTCAGGGAAATTTAAGATAGTGAGATCAATGCAGATTACAATATTTACAGTTCACTGATGACTTACATAAACACTGATATCCTTAAACTCCCTTCCTCTAAAGAAAAAAAAGGTGAAATAATTGAAGATAATATCTAAGTCTTTCGGACTGTCTTACGAATTGGGTACATATTTGTAATAGGTGTGCTGATCAACTGCTCTCATTGATGTATTCATAAATCGTAGAAGTGTAACAACTGTGTTGCATGTTGTCAGTATAATGTGACTTGAGATTCTTCTATGGACTTTCTGCAATTAAACTTTATTGTGGCAGCACCATCACCAAGGGGCACGCTCACACTAATACTGCATATTACAGCCTTCCAAAAACAAACACATTCACAAACATCTTTAACTTAACATAGATGTTAATAGGATGCCAAGCAATATAAAGCAAAGTAATTTAAACATAAATATTGATAGAAAACACACATGATACAGTAAATGTCCCAATACCATATCTAATATCCCACTTCTTGTCATTTTAGTATAAAATCAAATGTTAATAGAGCCAACTGTGAAAATTCTCATCTCACATTGTTTATCTCTAAACCTCAAACTAACATTAGGAGGTGGCTCCACTAACTATCTACATCCCACTATATTGATATTTGAACAGGAACTAATGTCTTTCAACATCAGCACCAAAAACTTCACATTAGCTTTGATTAAATTTGACATGAAATGTCCAAAGTCACAATGTTTGAAAAATAGTATCAGTAAAACATGAGTACTCTCAGAAAACAACATTATTGGACACACAATTTTAAAAAAGGGCAATAATTCTGTATTTCAAGAAGTTTCAGGAATAAGATTTGGTACGCTGTACATCCTCCTAGTATGACCAATGTATACATTAAGTTTTATTTCAATGGAAGCAAAGTTATGGTCCACAAAAATATTTAAACAAAGGGCAATAACTCTGTGATTAAGGTGTTATGGACCCAAACATTGGTGCACTGCACAATATCTTTGTATGACAAATGTATACACCAAGTTTCATTATCTAAGTTTAAATACAAGAAAAGTGATACTCTCATTCAACAATTGCATCAAAAACTTAACATTTAAAAACCAACGCTGATGGTAAGACCAATGCTGGAGTGACAAAATAACCTCCAGTTAGGTGAGCTTATGACAATGTTTATGGCCTAGTGAAAGAGATGGTATAAGACTGTTGAAAAACATCTCAATACCATATCTAAAATTCAAATTCTTGATAGTATGAAAACAAATATAAAAACTATAACATTTCTCTGAACTCTTAATTTGCTAACCTATTCATTTGATCTTTTTTGACACATATGTACAATTTATGAATAAATTACGCCGAGGCACATGGAGAGGAATCTTAACAGTTTATGACATTATAATAATATGGGTTAAGGGGCTATAACAGATGTAGTGCTTCAGTATTACCCGGCCAACAAGTAAATGCTTAAATAGACCTCAAGATATCGAAGCTGCTGGCCGAGCTATGTACCTGAAGAGAGGCAACAACTCTTTACTGCCAAATAGAAATCTTGGGGGACTTACAAATTACATAATGAAGTAAAATGCCCAAATTGAAGACATACCACAGCTGAAATACCCCCAAGAACTAAAACTACCGGTTTCTTAACATATAAGTGTACACAATTCACAGTTACTTGAAGTTCAAAGTTCAAATTATCTATACAGCCATTGAGCATTGTATAAATTAATTTTCAGCATGGTCATAAATCACAAACACATTTTCATGAATTTGAAACAAGAAGATAACTAAACCAGAAGATAGGTGATTTGTACATCAGTTGCTATCATAGACAAATGCACAAGTAATACAAGAGTTCAAAAACTTTATTCAAAGTGTACACATTTGATTTGCAACCTATGTAAAACAAAAATGTCAGTGAAACTGATGAATGCTCTCTGAAAACGACTTTGTTGGACACAAAATTTCATCAAAGAGCAATAATTCTGTAATTAAGAAGTTGCAGGCCCTGAATTTGGTATACAATATTACCTTAGTATGACAAATGTATACACCAAGTTTCAATAATTCCTAAATTAAGCAAAAGAGAGTTATGGTTCTTGTACACTTCACTTCTCCTGATCAAAATCTATCTACTATGAAGCTTCATGATATAGTTATATGCTCTGGACAATACCATAATGAATGAACAAACGGATGGACAAACAGACACCAGAACTAACATATGCATGAACAAAATGGCAACGCTATGCTTCCCTTTAGGAAGCATAACTGAAAACAAAAAAGAATATGACAAGCCATGCCACTTTAAGTTCTCAAGGCCATGCACATTGAGTGGACAGGTATGTCAAACAAGTAATATTTGTAACTCTGTAGACAAAACACTTACCTAATGATGCCTTTATGGAGGTTCTTAGGCCTCTGCTCTTTGACAGAATATAAACCAAAACAACGACATAACTCGTTTGAAATGGTGAAGTTTTGAGGACTTGACTGCTCAAAGTAAACAGCAAAATCTGACCTGGAAATAGAGAGACATTAACATACAATCAAAATATCATTCTAAAACATTCAGAAATAATATGAAAGGAACTCAAATATCATGAAAGTCTTGAATACATACACAATGTCTTTTAAATGAAAATGATACGTATCTTCAACTTTATAGTCATTAAACCTTACATCAAAAGTAAAATCTTTCACTTTAAAGAATTATTCCACCTTGATAGCAAAAGTACTATAATTCAATTTGAAGAAGCAGTAAGTTAATCTTAGATTTTTTACATGTAAGTGAATTTGACCCATTTTGGCCCCACTCATCAACCACTGGGGGTCAGTCAGGATCAAAATGAGCATACCATTAAACGATTCATCTTTCACTCATAATTCTAACCAAGTTTGTAATATTTCCAATGGAAACTAAACAAATTATGCTCAAAAATCTAGTTTTCCTATTAATACTATAGTAAACTTTACCCTCTCCCCACAGGGAAATGTGAGACCCTGGGGCCATGAAATGAACATTTTGGTAAAGCACCTTAAGATGCTTCCATTCATGAGGAGTATTTGATTCTACAATATCTGGATGTTGAGAAGAAGATTTTTTTTAAATAGAGTCAATTAAACCACTTTTGGCCCTGCCCTTCAGTCCCTTTGGGGATGAGGACTGTATAATTCACAATTGTGGTTCTTAGGCCAAGGAAAGTTTCAGCAAAATTCATTGAAATCAGAAGTTAAAAATGATCAAATGTTTATGGACGCATGATGCACAGTGCTGGATAAAGGTGATAGCAATAGGTCACCATGAGACTTTGTCTCAGATAACTTAACAATTATTTAACATAGCCGATGGCGGTACAGGTATGTATATTGTTCCACCATTAATCAGGTTACTATCTACTGTCCTGACAGACCCCTTGTATAAACTCACAAGAGCGATCTGAACGATTAATTATAAATTTTAGCAAGCATGACGCCTGTTCGACAAATCGAGGGAGAAAGGATACTGTGAACATGAAGCGACAAAGAAAAAAGCTAGTTCTAGGAATGTCGGGTATTCATGGAATAAAAGTTTGAGGAATCTGAGGTTAAATAGCAGGAAATACATAAGGAAATGATGGGGACCAGCGACCAACTCTACAAATGGGGTATTTGATGAATACATGTTTGAGTAAGTTTCTACTTTAACTTAACCAAAATAATTAGACGCTTTATATATGTTTGAAGTTTGAATAGAAACCCTTGAGGAACAAAGGCATGAGAGCAATGACAACGATTTTCTAAAAGTAGTAATAGTGGCCACATTGACCTTGGCCCAAAAACCTGAAACTCAAATTTCACAAAATATTTTGATGCATAAAAAGTGTTTAAATGTGTGATGTGAATCCCTTAAGAATATAAGCTGCTAGAGCACTGACAATCTTCACAGACACAAGGATGGACAGATAGAGAAAAAAATTATAGTCCCTCGCCGCCACGCCCCCTTAAATCTAAAAGAAATTGAAAACTTACTTTTTCTCAATTGGCACGTAAAGAATCTGCTGCTTCTTGCCTGTCATACAGTTCTTCAGCATGTCAGCAGTGAAAACATCTGCTGAAGCTAGTTTTTTATGAAGTAAGGCATCATAGCTGCTCTCCATTAAGTGAGACAAGCCCTTCAGGTTCATCCCAGCCTCTCTGTAATATACATTTACAGATAGAGGTTATAAGCTTTCGCAACAGCTGGTCAAATGAAGAAAAGATTCACAAACACTGATAGTAGTCAAGAGGCTCAATAAGCAACACCATGACCAAAATCTGATAGTTTTGTAACAGTAGCAATATAACCCTATATCTGATGTTGTCCTGACCTAGCCACCACCAAGTGTAAAGATTGAACAGGAAACAAATAGAGATTTGTCTAATCTTCATCATGTTTAAGATTGAAAATTTTGAAGGCAAAAAAAAATGATAATATATCACACATTTATATGTATAAAGTTTTTGAACAGATAAATCTATATGATTTAACAGCACACAGTATAACATCTTTTTTCACCAACAACAATTTTCACCCTTCAAGATCACATGACAAATACAGAATACAGAATAGGAAATAGTAAAAGTATATGACAAGACTAATACAGATATAGATATCTGGATTTGATATGTTTTGGAATATCTTTTTAAGTTGGTAATGTCAATAGAACAGAAGTTCTTATAACACAACCAGTAGACGATTAGAGAGTGACATTTCTATGACTACAAGGTCACCTTTATCTTATAACACAACCAGTAGACGATTAGAGAGTGACATTTCAATGACTACAAGGTCACCTTTATCTTATAACACAACCAGTAGACGATTAGAGAGTGACATTTCTTTGACTACAAGGTCACCTTTATCTTATAACACAACCAGTAGACGATTAGAGAGTGACATTTCTATGACTATACCGTCACCTTTATCTTATAACACAACCAGTAGACGATTAGAGAGTGACATTTCAATGACTACAAGGTCACCTTTATCTTATAACACAACCAGTAGAGGATTAGAGAGTGACATTTCTATGACTACAAGGTCACCTTTATCTTATAACACAACCAGTAGACGATTAGAGAGTGACATTTCCATGACTATACCGTCACCTTTATCTTATAACACAACCAGTAGACGATTAGAGAGTGACATTTCTATGACTATACCGTCACCTTTATCTTATAACACAACCAGTAGACGATTAGAGAGTGACATTTCTATGACTATACCGTCACCTTTATCTTATAACACAACCAGTAGACGATTAGAGAGTGACATTTCAATGACTACAAGGTCACCTTTATCTTATAACACAACCAGTAGAGGATTAGAGAGTGACATTTCAATGACTACAAGGTCACCTTTATCTTATAACACAACCAGTAGACGATTAGAGAGTGACATTTCTATGACTATACCGCCACCTTTATCTTATAACACAACCAGTAAACAATTAGAGAGTGACATTTCGATAACTACACGGTCACCTTCATCACACAAAAGACCAGTGTGGAGCATACTAGCACTGCATACATAATAGTGTATGAGATGGTACCGAATCTACCAACTTTTTCAGCTACACTATAATCCTATGTACATTAAGATGTATGACTAAATGTTAAACAAATCATAGCCAAATTGACTTTGTACATTGTTACCATCTGGTATGTTTTTTTGGTTTACAATCTGTTTACCATCTCATCACACTATTTTGACCTTAGTGTACATACAATTGCAGTGCATCTGAACTGAACCATCTCATACATTATGTACATCAGTGCTAGAACGCTCCACACAGGTGTTTTGTCTGATGAAGGTGACCATGTTGTCATCGAAACATCAGGCTTCAATCTTCCACCGGTTGTGCAATGGTTTTGATAAGGAATTGGGAAATTTGCACACCTGTTGCATGTGTATACAGTACATAAACATAACTCAAAATAGTGTAACATACAAATTGGTGAGTCTTGGCTTGTTGAAAAGCTCCGTTAGGTAATCTTCATTGGTGTTCCAGGTCTGATATGGTTGACGGTAAATGCGTGAGACATCAGGTATCAAGATTTCACCAACAACTTCTTCTCCTGCTAATGCCCAATTATTCCAAACTCTGAGGTAGAAGACAGAAGTATATTTATGTCTCTGATTAAACACCAGATGCAAAATACCGCTCAACTACAGAGAGCTTCTATCTAGCTCTATTGCAATTGGTTGAGCGTTAGACTAGTAAGCCAGAGGTTCCTGGTTCAAATCCTAGAAAAAGACATTCAAATTAGTTATGAACACTGTTACATTGGCATCCATGTAGGCACTTGAAAATAATACAGAGCAATACTTTCACAAGCATTGCTGTGACCCCTGAAAACCCAATGATAAGTTATTTCCTGGAGGGGCAGTGTGTAACCCTGGTAAATACAAGCTGCAATATACCATTCAGCTAGAGAGAACTTCTCTCGGAACACCTATTAAACTTTCAACAAACACACAACACCAGATGGTAAGGAGACATCCAAAAAAAGTATTTCACTCCCTTACCATATGGTAGTTATCTATGATTCTTCAACCGTTAACATGTCTACTGTACATATTTGGGCTTATTACAACACATTGATATAATGTAAGTCTATGTTCACTGTACATTTTTATCCTGCACTAAGACCCACTGACAGACATACTGCCTCTGACTCAACGCTATAGGATGGACTTATTACAGCACATTGATATAATGTAAGTCTTTGTTTACTGTACATTTCTATCCTGCACTAAGACCCACAGACAGACATACTGCCTCTGACTCAAAGCTATAGGTTTACAGCACATTGATTTAATGTAAGTTTGTCACTCCTTAATAACAACTGGTAATGATTGGCCTATTAACACACATTGACATATTGTGGCATGAATATGGTAATGAGAAGTAAGTTCCATGCAAATAGACGAAGTTTTGAATTCATATAAAAATCTAATTTAATAACAATAAATTATCCAAATTATCATTTCAATTTAAGGATTTTGTTTAACTGTATTTGTCGTATTTCATTATTTCTGTACCTTTTTGAGCAACAGACAGACATGCGGTTCTTCATATAAGTGTCGAACACGCTTCGTTTCAGGAGGAATCCAAGTCCTGGAAACTCTTCAACTCGATATGCTAATGTTCTGTCTCCAGAAGTAGTGTCGTAACCTACAGAAAGTAAAACTCATCATCAGATAGCAATCTGTTACAATTTTCTCATGTGTGATCATGTTTCCAGGGTACATTCATCTTGTAATACCAAAATCTCTGTGTCAACTGACACCTGATTTGTACATTAATATCTATAATGATACTGACTTATATTGAAGTAATCTATTTCAATCTGATTCTTGAACATAATTTGAATCACAATGAATTACTGACCATTGTAGTTCCAGGCGGACACTCCCAGCAGAGAAGCATCAGAATCCACTACTACCAAACTCTGACCAAGGAAGGACAGAAAGTCTGGAGCTAAGACAATTTCCTCCTCTAAAACTATCAGGTATTTCTGAATGATCAAAATAAGAAATACAGTGCATTTACACAGATGTCAATGATAAAATTGTCAAGAAATCAAAATTTAAAATTCTTAAATATAGCTGTCGAAAAAATGACAAAATTTCAGTCATATATTTCGTTCCATAAAAATCTGCAAAAATGGAATTAAAATGTATCCTCACAGGTGAGAATCACACCTAACAATTCATTCCTAATCTAATCACATATACCACTATAGTACAACAAAGATTTGAATTACAGTTGCTCAATATCAGGAAGCATACTCACAGCTTCAGTATGGAGCTCCCATCCAGTTGTCAACGCTTTCTGCATTTGGTCTAGAACAAAAATTCTTCATGAGAAAAATAGAATTTATTTATAAATTGATAAATTATTTATAAAGAAAGGCGTAAACCTGATAAATAAATGTTGAAGATTCATGATTTCAGGTTTGTTCTATAGAATCAGGTGTTGGAACTATCCTTGTTAAGGTATGATATCTGACAAGCATAGAAAATGTTATTGCAAATGTTTCATTTATTAGTCAAGTATCCTCCAAGTATATATTCCTCATACCATCTACTGTCCTGTCCAAAAATATACCAAGTGTGATCCAAGGATGCTTCAATTATGCTTCTTGAATACTTCAAGTGTATTTGTCATTAGTTTTTATGCTAAGAGGAGTATAAGTATCATTAAGGGCCAGCACCGAGTTAAGCAATACCCTGAATTTATAGTCAGCAACACATCAAAAATACTGGTCAGTAACACGTCAAAAATACAGGTAACACATCAAAAATACTGGTCAGTAACACATCAAAAATACAGGTAACACATCAAAAATACTGGTCAGCAACATGTCAAAAATACAGGTAACACATCAAAAATACTGGTCAGTTATACACATAAAGTACTGGTCAGTTATACACATAAAATACTGGTCAGTAGTACACATAAAATACTGGTCAGTAATACACATCAAATACTGGTCAGTTATACACATAAAATACTGGTCAGTAATACACATCAAATACTGGTCAGTAATACACCTAAAATACTGGTCAGTAATACACATCAAATACTGGTCAGTAGTACACATAAAATACTGGTCAGTTATACACCTAAAAGTAAAGGTCAACAAAACACCTAAAGTAGAGGTCAGTTGTATATGTACACTCAAAGTAAAGGTCATCAAACACCTAAAGTAGAGGTCAGTTGTGTATGTACACTCAAAGTAAAGGTCAACAAAACACCTAAAGTAGAGGTCAGTTGTATATGTACACTCAAAGTAAAGGTCATCAAACACCTAAAGTAGAGGTCAGTTGTATATGTACACTCAAAGTAAAGGTCAACAAACACCTAAAGTAGAGGTCAGTTTGTATATGTACACTCAAAGTAAAGGTCAACAAAACACCTAAAGTAGAGGTCAGTTGTGTATGTACACTGAATGTAAAGGTCAACAAACACCTAAAGTAGAGGTCAGTTGTATATGTACACTGAATGTAAAGGTCAACAAACACCTAAAGTAGAGGTCAGTTTGTATATGTACACTGAATGTAAAGGTCAACAAACACCTAAAGTAGAGGTCAGTTGTATATGTACACTGAATGTAAAGGTCAACAAACACCTAAAGTAGAGGTCAGTTTGTATATGTACACTGAATGTAAAGGTCAACAAACACCTAAAGTAGAGGTCAGTTGTATATGTACATTCAAAGTAAAGGTCATAAAACACCTAAAGTAGAGGTCAGTTGTATATGTACACTGAATGTAAAGGTCACCAAACACCTAAAGTAGAGGTCACTTGTATATGTACACTGAATGCAAAGGTCAACAAATACTTTTTTAAGAAAGCTTAAGGATAAATGATTTACTGAAATAAAAAATAATTGAAATGCTTTATTTGAGGGAAATGGTAAACTTACAGAGATGGTTATGCTCACCTATATAGTTAAGACTACCAGACAAGCTGTGATTGTTGTATTTAAAAAGATCGGCCAGTTCTGCATGTTCCACTGTTTTTTCATCCCACATTACCTAAAACATTGACCATTGAATTAAGAAATTAAGATATCACTCTATAAATATAATATACAAACAAAAACAAAAAAAACAGAGAAAAACACATAGACTCTATCAGACTGAAAACTCAGTCTTTAAAACATTCTTTTATTTTCTTGTCTCATTTTCGTTAATTTATATCAAATCAAATCTGTTCCTTCTATATTTTTCAAATGCATTTTCATTATTTGCCATAACATAACGAAGTAAAATAATGATAATTGAAGAATTCAGTCAAAAAATGTACAAGCTAAATCCACAATAAATATAAGATTCAAAATTCAAGATTAATAGTAGTTTTATTCTTAACAAGGGTTTTGAACTATATATAAATCCTCTCCTAAGATGAATAGTAATGCCAGCCATTTAACACACTCTCTCTGAAAACTGATACGTAAATATCGCAGTCAACAGCTTTATCAAAATCATCTCTTATCTCATCACGCCTACATTGTCAGAAATGAAATATGAGAAAAATTGGTTGCATCAATATGACATCTGGAAAAACTGCATTAAGTGTGACACAACAAGACATTACTTTACATGTGTACTAATATATAATACGGCTATCAAAAATTGACGGCAATTTGTACTCCAAAAGTGCAAGAAACTAGGGTTTTAAATTTGATTTATGGCACCATAAATCTCATTCTGAAATCATATTTTGAATCTAGATTAATGTATAATTCTTATCAAGAACTATAAAATGTTCCTTCAAATTTTTCCAGCAGGAAATATATTCAAGATGAGAGAAAGGTATCAGTTTCACTAAATTTCCCTCAAGACTTTTGATAAAGAAATGCTTTCATCGGATGACCAAATGTCAAGTTACTAAAGAATCACACAAAACTAGGGTACAGGATAAACCTGAAAGGATTATATTACTACACTCTGCTTTGTACTTTTCATGCAGTTCCTTAAAAGCAAATGCAAAAAGCCTATCATCAATAAGGTCTAAAATCTCTTGTCTTAGTTGTTGTTTTCATACGATTTTACAATGAAATAATCATTACATAAGTTAGATATAAATATATTTATCTGTCCAAACTGAATACTTGTGTATAATCATGCAATCAGACTGATTGTTCTAAATGAAGATTTGCTTACACAGAAATGAAATATGTCCTTGATTTGTATACATATATATGAAAGTGATGACATGTATATTCTGATATGCCCTTAAACTAAATACTTATAGATTAGTAACTAACAGTACAGTGAATTCCCAAACCAAGGTTGTTCCAAACCAAATTTGGTTAAACCTTCATAGGAGAAGAAGGAATTTAATGAGTAGGATTTATATATGTCCCTGTGCCCATGCAGATGTGGCCATCTTACTCAAGTAAACCTGATCAACAGATTCATAAAGAGACGGCATCATTTACAATTTTTTTAAATGTCTAAAACATTTAAAAAAAAAACTATAACATTGTACATGCCTGCTGATCCATCTTAAGACAGCAACAGTTCAGACATGGTACATACAGGTAATATACAGTATAGTTGTGGTGATTTGGCTCTAAAACCCTGCAGGAGCGACAGATTTGCTGACCTGTGATGCTGGGAGATCACAACATGTTTACGTGATAAATTGGTAGATTCAGCCGCCGCAACATCGCAGGGTTGTGATATACATATATAGGTAGGAGAGAATAATTTTCTACCAAGTTGTGATATCCACATTCAACAGCTGCCTTAAGCTTCATAGAATGTACATTACAAAAGTCCTGGTCATCTCCTAACGCCCACCCCCTAACCCCTGGGAAGAGGTCAACAATACACCTAAAATGGATGGAAAAATTGTCTGGACAGTATTTTGTTTAGTCAAACTTTTTTCAATATTTCAACAATATGAACTGCATCAGGAAACAGCATATATAGTAAGACCATATATTTAAAGCAGGTAAGTCATTATCATATGACTGTAAAATGAACAGTGAACAAGTGTTTGACCTATGAAGATTTTTGTAAAGTACGTTCAATATCAAGAATGTTAAACTTGTGGAGAGAATAATAACAAAGAAAAAGGAGCCATCTTCCCTAATCCTCATTACTTGTCAATGCTGCGGTAGCCATTTTCTCACGACTTTGCCCAGGTAAAACGAAGACTGTCTATAATTCCCATCACTTGCCATAATTGTGAGAGCAATGTTCCCGACTGTTTGCTGTGGTGGGATCGCGGGGTGATTCTAATCTCTCCCGCTCACCTGTCGCTTGTTACTCTCACACAAAGTTTGAGAACCAAATCACCTCAACTGTACTGTAGGTACAGTAACACAACAGATCCAAAGAGTACTACTGAAATGTTATGATAGTACATCACAAACAGTATGGTAGGATGACAGAAATGCTATGAATGATGCTTTCATTGTAGAATGTGTTTGGATTTTGTAGAAAATGATAAAAATTTACTAAAACATTATAACTAAAATACATTCTCATAAATAATATATATAGAACAAGTAATTTGTAAAAATGTTCAAATATTCATTTATACATAATATACACGTTGGTAGTGTGACGGTTTTAACCATTACCGCTAATTAGATGTAAGTCTGTATCGATTGTTTGGTCACTTTTACTGTTGTGGGATCGCACAATTTTACACAATGTACAATATGTGCATGATAGGAAAACTGGATGAGAAAAGACGTTTATAACCACCGATCAGTTTTAATATTCTTGTGATCACAAATTTTCAGTTTAATTTTCAATTTGTAATATTAGCCAACAATATTTTACCAAATGTACAAAATGTGTGATACTATCAGAGTTGTATCCACAATGTATGCATGACTTGAGCAGGGAAACTTTGGTGCGTTGTGCATTACCACAACTATACTGCAACAATTTTAGCTTATGTATAGATTGTTCCATTCATATCATACAAATTTAATTTAAAGCTGAGTGGTTTTTACCTGTAATAGGTGCTTTGGGGCATGTATGACATTGCACAGGTACCTGACTAACCTGGATACTGATTGTATCTGATAACTGCATTGAAATAATAAACATGTTCGTTTCTGAATAATAATTATATAAACATAACAGCTGTTCTTACCACAGACCATGTTACACCATAAACAAGTCTTAACCAATGTGAAGCACAACTGATAAAATAATGATACTGATATTATGTAATACCTAATTTGACATATAAATTCAGACTTCAAAATAAAGAATATTTTAGAGAACTTATATAAGATACAATTAAATCATTATTTGAAATACATCTTGTGTGTAGAAGGATTCTAATGATTTTTTGCCTTTCTTTTACATATTAAAATAAGTTCTGATTGGGAAGGCAAGCTGAAAATGCAAATGCTATGATAGTACTACAGAAATGGTAGTGTGTAGGAAATGCTATGGTTGTAATACAAAAATGGCTGAAACATTATTGATAAGAAAAAGGAACAGAAAATATGCATAGGTCTGTATCAGGTCAGTTCATAAATGTAAGTGGTCTTCAGCTGTTTCTTTCACCTACAGCTCCTTCATTTACAACTAGTCTTTAAAGACAGACGGTCTTGAAAAACAACAGACAGTCTTGATAAAGAGTTTTTTTACATAGTAGTGTTCTTTAGGGAAAATTCGTCTTTCCCCTAAGGAAGTCATTTGACCCTTGTTGTCACTCAAAATCCTTAGAAGTTTGCATGGTTACATTGAGAGTTATGTAGGGTGTATTTTTGCACACTATCAAGCACATATACCTGTTTTCCTACTTTGCTGTACTAAACATATTTGGGAATGCTTCATCTTGCCATGAAGATTCTTTTATTACATGACAAGTCAGATCTTCAGAGATCTTGACATCAACCATTTTTTATCTTTATTTGTTCTTAAAAAGTAGGATCTTTTCATCTTCTTTTATCTTCTTTACTCTGTTTTAGTTCTTAAATATATAAAATTTTAAATTTTTTTTTAAGAAATAGCCATAATAATTCAAAGACTTTAACTGCCAAATCCAAGGTAGTCACCTGTCAGTTATCTTTGCTTTTCTAATCAGTCACCTGTCAGTAAGCTTTGCTTTTCTAATCAGTCGCAAAATCAACAGGGGACCAAGAAGAATCTCCATGCAAAAGTTAGGAGATCCATCCAAAATCAGGAATGGCTGCCTGTCAGCAGTTTTGTTTTTGGGATTAGTACCAAAATCAAACATGCACAACTATTGACCAAGTGGAACCTACCAGTACATATGAAATTTGAGAGGGATCCATCTAGTTCTTCTCAAGAAATAGCAATAACAAAATTTGTTTTAAGATGAACGAACGGATGGACGGACTAACCGCAGATGCAGGGCTATTTGAATGGTCAACCATCTGATAATGGTTGGCTAAAAATGGACTGTTTGCTTGTGCTTTTATATTACAATAGCTCTGCAGTACATGTCTACGGTACACATTCTTTTTTAAAACTTATTTGAGATGCAATATTTAGCATTTAGCCTTACCGTGACAAGGGATGGGCGCACTCCTGGTTGCATGATGGTGGTCTCTAAAGTACGAACAAGGGCGTTATGGTCCATTCCTGTTCAAATTAAAACAGAACTGTTATCAAAAACATGACACTACAGACAGCATTCCCTTTTAACTCAACAAATATCATTTGTCACATTTCTTAAGCAAAGTGCAAATATCTAGAGCGGCCAATTTATTAGATCAATATCACGAGCCATTATCGCCTTAAACTGACCAAATTTAGAAAATTTGTCAAATTAAAAGTGTGGCACTGTTACCATATCTGACATATTTTATTACATCGTTGATGGTTAATGGTCTAATGAGCTCTGGCTGGTTTGAAATCAATTGCTAAGACATATAAAAATTTGCTGTTTGTTAACCATTGAAAACCTGATGAGATATAAAACAGCAGATTAAGATACCGGCACTATAACCAAACAGAAAACCTTAAAGTCACACCATTTTTGTTATACCTAAATTTGAGATGTTTTCTGTATATGATATCATTACCCAACAATGTCAGTACGCACATATACACTAACTTATGCATCAAGATGCTATAACCACCACACTTTAATCTTAAGATATGTCCAAACAGCCTTATATTACATCCTGCAAAAAAATCTTGGGTGGGCTTATTACAGAACAAGAAAACAGTATTGGTTTGTGAGTTATATGTATGTAAGAAAACATAGGTAAGCATTTGAAAATCTAATGAAGAAAAAGATATTGAAACAACTTTTAATATTTCAAACATGTAAATTATTTACAGAAGTTAAATCTTTAAGAATGGAAATTTCGGTTTATTTTTATATTTTTTAACGTCTTCATAAACAACAATTAGTTTTATAAAGATACAGGAATTTTATTGTCTGACTTGACTTAAAAACTTCGACTGTTAATTTTATACCTATTGTTTTCTAAAACGATATAAGCCGACGGGAGGCAAAAAATACAAAATCTCATCAGGAGTCATTGGAGTGAGTTATTGCTGGGCAAAAAAATAGCATTTACTGAACAGCAATATAGATATTAACCTAGAGTGCTGACACATCAGAAAGGTCACATAATATGTCTGACTTTAAACTTGAGCTTAACAGGAAAAAGAATGACTATTCATATGTTCTGAATACAAAAAAAAATATCATAAATACTATAGACCTCTGAAGGAAACTTGGATGTATGTATGTTTAATGGCACTAAAACTGTGTGAACCAAGCAGTAATTAATTGTGTGTTGTGTGATTGGATGGTCTCTATACTTTGTGTTTTTTATCATCTTTTATATCCTGCTGCTGTATAGCGGCTCTCCATTGCATTTTAATCATCTTTAGAATGTCAACATTGACATTTGAGTAATCATACACATATACCATTTTGATCAATATGGTTCATGATGTCATATCATATTTTCCAGTAAAAGTAATAAATATTTCACCTTGACTACTAACTCTATGACCTTGACTTTTTCAAATAACTTCTAAATGATCAATTTAGCTTCAGAATGTTGTAAGAAAATATTTGCCAGTGAAAGAAATATTGAGAAAATGTGACCTTAACTTTGAATTAATATTAACCTTGAGCTTTGATCTGGTAAAATCTTCATTTGATTCTGATAAACTTTATTCCGTAATTTTACAAAAAAAAAGAAATATCTATAAGAAAAATGTTCGAAATTTGACCTTGTGACCTTAACCTGTAGTTAGGAATCTTATTTGATCCTTGTCAATTTTGCTTCGAAACATTGTCATGAAATATTTATAAGTAAAACATTCAAAATTTTACCTTGACCTTAAACTTTGCAACCTTGACTTCTTTCAGACTGGTGACCTTTCATTTGACCATGAATATTTTTGCTTCATTATGTCATAACATGCCAGTAACATTTTTCAAAGTTGACCTTCACCTTTCACCTGATTACCTTGATTTTGTTTCAATATTTTATTGAAAAATCTTCATCAGTAAATTATGTAATACTCATATCTATAAATAAGATTTTTTCACATCATCTTTCTAGTTGTATTTATAGAAATAGTGACCTTAACCTACGGCAGTATGTTCTACGAAAATATTACAGATAATGTCTGGATTTATAATATAATCAGTAAAACAGAACTAGAGATATTGTGTTTATAGTAACACTGACCTTGATATTTGACCTATGAACCTGAAATGGAATCCCAATCATACATTTTCTGTACTGAACTGAGTGTAATGGGCCTCTCAAACTTGAGATATGATGCAGAAACAAATAAACAGAAACTGCCCGACAAATGACCTGACTACTTTAGGCTACCAATCTTGATTTAGTTTAATTTATTGTTTATGTCTTGTTGATTTAAGGATGTGCCAGGTTTGGATGGTCGAGGACAGAATTCCCAGAGAAAAATCACTGACCTGTAACCACTACCTGGCCACTGCCCTATGTTAACATCGAACCCACAACCTGGAGCAGTGCTAGGGCCCAATACGTAATTCAGTAATCAAAGTGCCATCAAGATCAACTGACAAACATGCAAAAGAGACACTTATTTTAATTACTTCCCCTGTTTCATCTGCCCAGCCCTATGAACTATATAACCATATGGGAAAATGAAAGTGCCAAGTGATATGGACTGGAATATATCATATAGTTAAGAAATCAATTAATCCAATTTATTAACAATAATTATTATCAATGAATATCCAATTTGAAATCACCTTCGGGTTAAATAAGAATGGATCAGGATGATATTAGAAATTAATCATTTAATATAGATGTATATGATAATATCTTAGCTCGCAAACCCACTACATGTCAATACGACGATTCATTGATCTTATTTAGGACTGACCTGAGTTATATTTATCTTACATGTCCTCTGACATGAAGGTGACACACCCCCTAATGAAGAAAAATCAATCTGTGATTTAGGAAGCAGTACAGTTTGGTGCTATGGCTGAAGTGTTCTCAGCTTTAACACAGTAAACAATCAAAGTATGTGGTCTAAGCGTAGCCAACCTCATGTAATGTATCCAGCCCCATCCCTTCAAAATCAAGAGTGACAGGGTGTTTGATTTAAAGGGCTGCCAATACTTTAGTACAAATCATTATCAAATTTGTATGTGTTTAGATGTTCTATTACCAATATCATGGCCTTGATTTCTTCTTGTTGCCAAGATACTCCTCAGAATATATGTCAAATATTTTTATGACCTAGGATTGAGGATTTATATTAACCATATATATATTATTTTTCTTGGGTCAATTTATTAGTTTTTTAATTTCCAGTATTTGCATCAAAATGTATTTACACTGCACCAAGTAAAATGTATAAAAATAAACAGTAATTCTTACTAATTGACTTTTACATTTGATAACCACAGAATTTCATTAAACATTTAAAAAACAAATTAACTTAAAACACATTTTAGAACAATTTGGGTTCAATTGTACAACCATGCTATAACGGCAGCAGTAAGTTCATAGTGCCACTTGAGCATCAACAGCCAAGAGCAAAATCAATGATCAAATTGATGTTTTTATTTACTATTTTGTTCTTCTTTTATATCATAACTATTATGTAGCTGACTAATTAGCATATGTTTTCATGTAATTTCAAATAAAATGGTATTCAATGAGAATCTTAAAAAATAGTTGTTTTTCTAATGAATGGGTTTATATTTCAGGTTAAGTTAACCTTGTTTATCAAAGTATCTTTTTTTCATGTGTAGTTTGACCATCAATGACTTGTTGACAGCAGTATATAAATGTCATAACTGACTAAAGCTAGCAACTAACTAGTACAAATATTATTTTTTTGTAAGTGATTAGCTATACCCAGGTTTTATCTTTTTAACTATGACTGATAACTAAAATCCTACCAGAGGTTAACAGATTTGATGATACAAGGACATCTAAGCTAACTCAATCTGGTAGTGACTTCCCAAGTCATTTAATTTACAATGTGCATGCTTCTTAAAAGGTTTGTTAATGATGATCAAGCGTGACCTTTGACCCTTTAAACTTGACAGATGACCACCAAATTACCATAGAGTGTATATAGAAATTGTTATAAAACTATGGTGTAAAAATTGATACTCTAGATCTATTATAGTGATAATACAAGTATCAATTAAATCCGTTGATATATTCATATATTGTGACCTTTGACCTTTTAAGCTATAATCAATAGACTTCAACAGGTGCAAAGCTTTGTTGTTGTTATAAAAAACACATTCTGCTACAAAAAGGATTACAAGGTATCTTGCACAAGTTTTACAGGTTTTTAGCAACAGAATGACTTTTGCAATGGCCCACTGAAATCCTATAACTGCTCCTCATTTCTAAATCTAGGTAAATAAGGTTGGGACAAGTATTAGTAAAACATCAGAGGTCTAGGGGGAGTAACTCTCCTAAAATTTATGACAGATGCAAATATTTTCAGCATTTCAATGTTCATTTTGTTTTAATTTCAATTTTAGTTAATATTTTTTTAGGTTTCGTGTTTCATTATTTATTAAACTTATTTTTTATTCCAGAAGATATTTACATGAATGCAAATTTATTTCTTGTGTTGCTAATATTTTACAGTGTGAAGGACATAAATAATGAGAAACCAATCAACAATTTGAAACCAATCCATAATTTATTGCTAAAAGTAACATAAAAGGATATCATGTAACCAACATAACAAAATGTCATATTGAAATATTGATTGCAGACAACAAAGTCATCAACAAATCAAATATCAAAAATCATCAATAAGATGTGTTCAAATAACAATATATACATCAAATTATTGTGTCTAAGTCACATTGTAAACATAAACTGGTGTTTATGTCACAACAGAAGCCCTTAATTTGTGACCTGGTCACAGTATAAGCCATTAATAGGAGTCGGTGTTATGACACTGGAGATGTTAAATCATCATTCACTTGTGTGCCAAGGCCACAGTATAAACCATTAATTAGATTCCATGTTATAACACTGGAGATGTTTATTTGTGTTACTTACCTGGGATTATGATGATGGGAACATCAAATACTGGATTATTTACAAGATTTTTGTCCACAAGTCCAACAGGAGAGATCATCTTATCGATCTTTGATCCTGTAACAACGAGGAAAAAAATACAGATATGGAATTTTTGAGATTGAGTCACTGTAAATGATACAGATTAAATATCAAACCTGAAAAATATTAATGAAATTTATACCAATTGAAACAAATAAATCAGTTGTGTAATGGCCATAACTAATATTACGAAAATATTGTGATAAATATTCAGTACAGTTGTTCATAAAGATGACTGAGATGACATTCACGTCCCCTGCTCAGAAAGTGTTGATGTTCTGTTGGTCCACATTACAATGAGGCATACTTTGTTGATTTACAACTACACGAAGAAATGACTCACTAGATATGGCTGTCTAATCCTCCTCAAAAAGACCAACAAACTAAGTCTATTGCAATATGTATTGTCTGCCACCCTGTTGGGGATAAACATGTAAAATAACAGCAACTTACCCTCACAGAAGTCTGCATAACCATCATATTTCTTACAAAACGCCCTTCTGCCTTCATTACGGTAGCCACCTGGATCTGGGGCCACCTTTAAGCCTTCCACTAAAACACAAAAGATAAAACCAGAGTTTAAAGTTGCTTATTAAAACTAAAAGATTAAGAAATGAAACTGCTTTCAAAGCAATCAGGGATCCCAAATAAGATCCCTCCCAAGGTTCTATCCAGGTAAACAAATATGATAAGTGGTAGTCAGGTGGTACAGTGGTAAAGCACTTTCCTTCCACCTTGATATCCTACGATCACCTGCCCGACATTTTCTCCCTGGGTACTCCAGGTTTCTCCCACAGTAAGCCCATTTGTGTGCTTCAATCCGGGCAAAGATGAGCGATTTATATCAGGTTGAAAATTTTGTTTTGCAATCGTTGTAAAATAAATTAATTTTATTTATTCATAAATATAAGTTCATTTCCAATCAAATGAGAAATTATATGCCAAGAATGCAAAGATGATCAATTAGTGTAGGAACAAATTCTAGACACTAAATGTTTGACAGACCCCATCATATTTGATAAGTATCAATGGTACTAATTCAAACTCCAGAATAAATCTCAATATGTCAGGTAAGATAAAAGTTGTCCTATTTTACCATTAAACCTAGGCCTTAAGTATGAAGTTCCAGTGACAGTGATAGTTTAGGTGATTGAGCCTAGGAAATTAGTCCTGTTCTCGACTAATAACTCATAACAATATTTTTGTATTACAAGGTAGTTTAAAAACATTTACAAAAAAAGGTATCATGTTTATAATTTGATAATATCACAGGCCTGTTAATTGTTAATATCATAATATCATAGATCTGTTAATTGTTAATATCATAATATCACAGATCTGTTAATTGTTGATCTGATAATATCACAGATCTGTTAATTGTTGATTTGATAATATCACAGATCTGTTAATTGTTAATATCATAATATCACAGATCTGTTAATTGTTGATCTGATAATATCCTAGATCTGTTAATTGTTGATTTGATAATATCACAGATCTGTTAATTGTTGATTTGATAATATCACAGATCTGTTAATTGTTGATCTGATAATATCACAGATCTGTTAATTGTTGATCTGATAATATCACAGATCTGTTAATTGTTGATTTGATAATATCCTAGATCTGTTAATTGTTGATCTGATAATATCACAACCCTGTTAATTGTTGGTTTGATAATATCACAGATCTGTTAATTGTTGATTTGATAATATCACAGATCTGTTAATTGTTGATTTGATAATATCACAGATCTGTTAATTGTTGATTTGATAATATCACAGATCTGTTAATTGTTGATCTGATAATATCACAGATCTGTTAATTGTTGATTTGATAATATCACAGATCTGTTAATTGTTGATTTGATAATATCACAGATCTGTTAATTGTTGATCTGATAATATCACAGATCTGTTAATTGTTGATCTGATAATATCACAGATCTGTTAATTGTTGATTTGATAATATCCTAGATCTGTTAATTGTTGATCTGATAATATCACAACCCTGTTAATTGTTGGTTTGATAATATCACAGATCTGTTAATTGTTGATCTGATAATATCACAGATCTGTTAATTGTTGATCTGATAATATCACAGATCTGTTAATTGTTGGTTTGATAATATCACAGATCTGTTAATTGTTGGTTTGATAATATCACAGATCTGTTAATTGTTGATTTGATAATATCACAGATCTGTTAATTGTTGATTTGATAATATCACAGATCTGTTAATTGTTGATCTGATAATATCACAGATCTGTTAATTGTTGGTTTGATAATATCACAGATCTGTTAATTGTTGATCTGATAATATCACAGATCTGTTAATTGTTGATCTGATAATATCACAGATCTGTTAATTGTTGGTTTGATAATATCACAGATCTGTTAATTGTTGGTTTGATAATATCACAGATCTGTTAATTGTTGGTCTGATAATATCACAGATCTGTTAATTGTTGATCTGATAATATCACAGATCTGTTAATTGTTGATTTGATAATATCACAGATCTGTTAATTGTTGATTTGATAATATCACAGATCTGTTAATTGTTGATCTGATAATATCACAGATCTGTTAATTGTTGATCAGATAATATCACAGATCTGTTAATTGTTGATTTGATAATATCCTAGATCTGTTAATTGTTGATTTGATAATATCCTAGATCTGTTAATTGTTGGTTTGATAATATCACAGATCTGTTAATTGTTGATTTGATAATATCCTAGATCTGTTAATTGTTGATCTGATAATATCACAACCCTGTTAATTGTTGATTTGATAATATCACAGATCTGTTAATTGTTGATCTGATAATATCACAGATCTGTTAATTGTTGATCTGATAATATCACAGATCTGTTAATTGTTGATTTGATAATATCACAGATCTGTTAATTGTTGATCTGATAATATCACAACCCTGTTAATTGTTGATTTGATAATATCCTAGATCTGTTAATTGTTAATATGATAATATCACAACCCTGTTAATTGTTGATTTGATAATATCACAGATCTGTTAATTGTTGATCTGATAATATCACAGATCTGTTAATTGTTGATCTGATAATATCACAGATCTGTTAATTGTTGGTTTGATAATATCACAGATCTGTTAATTGTTGATCTGATAATATCACAACCCTGTTAATTGTTGATTTGATAATATCCTAGATCTGTTAATTGTTAATATGATAATATCATAAGCCTGTTTGTTGTTAATTTTACTTATGCCATGTTAAATGCATATTTCCTTCTTGTACTTACATTTTTTATTGACACAGAATGAGTTGTGCAAAATTTTTGGCCATGCCCCATCATAACCTGCATAACTGATCTGTAAAAGAAGAAATGAAGTAACTAAACAACGTTTTAAACTGAACTTTAACAATGTGGACATCTATCACTTATTTTTAAAAACAGAAGAAGCTACAGGCCAAGCATAAAAACAGTGAAACTTATTGAATACAAATCATAAAGTACATGTGAACTTGATCTTAAAACAAATTTCTGCTGCTGGATTTGGACACTGAGAACTACCTTATCATGTCTAGTGAAGCCCTTGATACCTTGTTGGCCTACAAAATACCAGACATCTCTAAACTTCAGGTTCTGAAGTACATGTAAACTTGACTTTAAAAACAAGTTTCTGCTGCTGGATTTGCACATTGAGAACTACCTTTTCATGTTTGGTGAAGCCTTTGATACCATGTTGACCGACAAAATACCAGACATCTCTAAACTTCAGGTTCTGAACCATACTGCTTCCTAGCTGATTAAATAACTCCTTGGCATGTAAACTCAGTCTGCAAAATCACAAAAGAATTTCTAAATAATTAACACAAACAATTTTTAAATAATTTTGTTTGATTGCTAAATTTTCAAATATCCGAAATTTTCTCCGAGTAAAGTTTGACCACATTTGGCTGTTTATAAAAGTAGAGCAGAGTGTAACACCGAAATAAAATCTCCTATAAATTGTATGGTGAAGTGTACATAATATAAACTCATATTTCAAAATAAAATTTCCCTTGTTACATCATAACAAAAACTGATAAATGACATGCTTCATTGAAATATATTTCACGGTATATCCAAGAAAATATTAAAAAATCAGGTTTCTGTGTCAAACTTACAAATCTAGCTATTGAGTCTAAAAGTATGACATAATATTAGGAGCATAATGTATTCTATAGTAAAATAACATAAATCATATAGAGGATACTAAATCATTTCATGAAAATGTGATATTAATCAAACCCTGACATGTTAACCAATTATGTGATATTAAGTGGAAAATACTACGGTAGTGTCCTAGTATTATAGAAACAACCAAGATAGTGTAGTGATATTTTAATTGTAAAACTATAAACAAAAGGGTAGTGAAGAAATATATTTTAATTGTAAATACATAAATAAAAAATGGAAAACAGTGTATGGTGATATGGATTTGCGAGCATACCCTCTAGTAGAAAAGATATTAATTGTCATTTAGCAGTTTAAAGTCTATAGGGTATTCTACATCTGGAGAAATCTGTTCTATAAATGTATACTTACTTCCTTGAACCATCATCATTGACAACAGCTATAACTATATCATCAGGCTCAAGTTTGTCCAGGAAAAATTCTAAGTTTAGGCTATCTGTTAAAATCAAATCATAATTATTGAATTAAAATTTCTGGTACATTTTGTGTAATCATGAAATATCAAATATAGAAATGTTCAATCACTTTTCACAATTTTTTTATATCATTTTTTTCAAAAGTCGAATTAAAAATCGAAAACTGTAAAATTCATTTTTGATGATATAACAACATAACAAAATTTGATAACAAGTTATAATAATGTTGATTATACCTGTATATCAAATCCTGTCACATTGTTAGATTTCTTTTTCAAAGACAATATCAATGCAAAAATAAATTCAGAATATCAACTTGAACTAATCGGAATTATTTTTAATTGATATTTGTGACTGAAACTGAATAAAAATATCAGTTTCACCAATGAAAATTACAGAATGCCAGCATAGTGATAAAAATTCTTGCAAACATCCACAATTTTAAGTACTGGAAAACCTGCTGGCATCATAAATACATTTTAATCATAAAATAGAGTTTTACATTCAATTAGTATTCAACAAAACAAAAAAAATTAAAACATATAAAACTAGGTCTTCAAAACTACTGCTAAATGTTTGGCTTTTATGTGAAATATTTCAACTTGAGCGGATCATTGTTTCATATGAGGCTGAATGACTCCTGATGGTATCATATAACAGCAAAATACCTGATGGTATATAGGCATGCATATCTTAAATACTGGTACCAATTTTCACAAATTCTTTGAATGGAGAATGGCTCTCACTGATCATCAAGAATATGTGACTTCCCTCTTCACTGCACGCTTAATACTTACAGAAGTGGGAATTATTTTCATGCACAAAAAGTGAAGTTTTATCTTATTTCATAAAGTAGAACCATTACACAAGACACTTTTGGATTTGTACATGTGAACCATATCACCAGCAAACAAGCAGTGAAGAATCAAGCAGTGATAGCTTATCACTACTAACTATACACAGAGATGATGTACAAGATTCCTCACAATATACAGCTGTGATAAGTGAACTTCCAGAAATTTTCCTAAACTGAAGTGAAGGGTCACAAGGATACAAATTGGAGGAATATTTTTGCGTAATCGATCAGATGAAAGAACAGAAGAATTAACATGTAAGGAATGGTCTTACGTAATCAATTATCGACAAGTATGACCGCATAACAGAAATAAGTTACCATGACAACGATTATGATAAAGTACCCTATTCTAGCAATACAGATTTGTTTATATACATAATTATCATATGAGTAGACTAAATCTGTAAGTATCATTGCTCTGACCATGTCTATTAATAGGACGTCAATTTTAGCCACAATAAACAGCTGATAGACTGAAACATTCTATTCAACAACTGCTACAGTTTGTTTGTTTTGCAATCCCTTATTTTGCAAATATATTTATCTTTCAAAATATAAGAAAAGGTTAGAATCATGATGTTTTTAAACAAATGCCAAATGTCAACACATTCATGCTCATGTTAGTAAGTTGTCAGTTACATATATCTATAGGTTACCATGTTAATATTTCAGAATCACTGTATGCAAATTTCAGCTGAATCACATGTTGACAACGCTGACAAAATAACACTACTATGTTGATGCCTATATTTTACATTCATTGGCACCTATTTTCAGCTCAATGGCACAAGTGGAAAACATGTTTTTCTACATAGGGGCCATATTGGATTTTGGATCAACCGAAAAAATAAGAACGTATGAAGTAAGTTAAAGCTTAATCCCACAAGTGGAACCTGAGATGTTTAAAATAGATATTGTTCACAGAAACTTTGATTGAGCTATCATGTTACAAAATGGCCGACATATTGAATGTTTAACAAGGCTGCAAAATATTCACTTTTTGTCCGTTCTCATCCTTAACATATAACCAATTCTTAGCCCAATAGCACCAGAGATATTTGAAAAGTTTTAAATTTGAATTTCAAGATGATGGCAAAACTGGATTTTGAAATGACACGAAAATAACAACACTTATATTGGTCAAGACCTCATCATGATCATTTAAGACAAGTTACAACTAAATTCCACAGGTGGAGCTTGAGAAAATGTTTAAAATTTAAAAAGCTTATGTACGGCAGACAATGCAAGATGTTAGACAATTCATGATGGGTCAGATGACCTAATAGTTAGGATCAATCCCAGACGTAGTTGAAGAACAAATATAACTGAGAGTTTTTTTGTTAGATATTTCAGCAGAACACAAAACTATACAAAAATGAGGATTTCATTGTTGACGATGAAGGTGGGTTGAAAATCCTTGTGAAGGTAGATAACCGAGAGGTAGGTGGAGTTTGTGGATGATTGGGGTATCGAGGGATAAGGAGGGGGTAATTGAGGTAGAGAAGGGGAAAGTAGGGCATCATCTATTGTTAAATATAACATTTACCTTTGGAGTATGTGTCAAACCTGGAAATAGATTTGACCTGGAAGGACACATGGTCGATGATCACCACGTTAAATCCACGTCCTGCATCGTTGACTTGTTTGTCTACAATGCTATATCAATATCCATGGAAACAAAACATGCAGTTAGTTATACAAAAGGATACAGCCAAATTACCCTTCTATGTTAACTATCCTCCACCAAACTTCCAATTACTCATGCATGCATAACCAAGAAATTTGTATATTTCCTCTAAACATATTGCTTAAATGTAAGACACAATTTGACTACAGTACTATTTGGCTATAAAAGGAAATTCTGCTTTAAGGACCCTTTTTTATGTTTTATGTTTTATGCTATCAAAATTAATTTACAAATTTTTCAAAGTAAAAAATGATCATTGTATGTTGTTGTAATATTGACTGTAATTGTTTCTATTTACTCCTTCATACATCAAAAAAAAAAAACAAAAAAAAAACAGAGACCCTGACAAACTGGTAAGGTATATGGTAAACCTTTGATCAGTCCATACAAATTAAATGAAATGAATATTCTTGAACCTATTCAAATTATATGCAAATATGCTTGTAAATACATATAATTCAAACTTTCCGAGTCGACATTGCCTAAAACCACAACAGTCGACGACATTGCCTAAAACCACAACAGTCGACGACATTGCCTAAAACCAAAACAAAGTGTTTAAAAGCAGCAGAAAGCATTTGATTGGTAATGGTATTTTCTGAAAAAAGATATATCAGTCATGATATGATTATCTTTTGAAACAAAAGAAATCACACATTTTATTTTGTTCTTCATCATGTTAGATTTTGCATCAAATCAACCATATTAAATGTAACCCACCAAAAAGCACATGTCTACTTATGTACTGACAGAAATTAGTGTTGAACTATCAGTACGCAGAATAAGGACTGATATTTATAACTACAGATAATAATTTGTTACAAGTACTGAGTTAGTCTTGTGGTGATTATCTGATCAAAATGTCAAATACTATTGCTCTTTGACAATACACATGCTGACATACATATATATACTAATCGCTTGTAATACAGATTTACACATACAGAGCTGGGGCCTAAGTTGTGTCAGCTTGTGCGAGCACGGTGTGGTGACAAAATGTGAGAGAAATCACACTGAATCAATGCTAATTAAGTGACGTGTTTGTGTGTAATTTGGCAATTAGGTCTTCGCAAACATCCAAACCTATATTATTTGGTAATAAATGTTTGTTGCTAACAGGTGTCAGCTTACTGTAGGACATATGTGGGACATGGGCCAGTAGTAATTTGTTTATAGACAGGAATGTCTTTTGACACCTTATTAACAGTGTATGGTAAAATACTCTGAGGAATTAACCAGACTAATTAATAACTTTCAGGTTCATCAGGTGCTTCCTGCTTTTGTTTCGATAGAAATGTGGAGGTCAGTCATGGATATCTTAAAGCTTGTATGACTTTATTTGAAGGTGACCAGATATCCAGTTATAGAATTCGAACATGCTACAGATCTCCACTGTGGTGTTTAATGATAAGTTTGATATTTTCACAACAATTATGAAAGCTTTTGGCTTATACTAATTACTCTTGTTGACCCGGATGTAAGCTTGTAGGGTGTCTTACTGTGGGAAGAAACACAAGCACACGAGGGAAAATCCATAAGGATGGGCAGGTGACCCCATACCTTTCCATGTCCATTCCAAGGATCAAACCCAAGATGGCTAAGAAAAAGGCCAGTGCATCACCACTGTGCCACTCCACCACCCATATCTGAAGTGTTTCATTTACATCAGAATAGAACACTCAAAAGAAATGAACTCCTTGAAACTGATTTTAACCATTGTTTTCTCTAATGTGTTATAGCTACATGTTTGTGTTGTATGTACACGTTAACTATGAAATGTTTAATTCATTGCTACTATTTTGAATGATTTTGCTTTGATTAAGATAAAGTAAATCACAAATTATTTGTTCGCTATGTCTATCCCCAAATGAACAAATAAAGCCATTTTAACACACAATCTCTCTGCTGCAGCTGGTAGCTACCTTACAGAACAACATAAAGAGGCCCACTGAATGCTTTATTGAGCAAATGAGATCAAATGTTTTGACGAAAGACACGATAATGAGAGAACAGGTCATTCATGATCTCATTTTCCTTAGAAAAACAAAGCATCCTGGGTAAAAATCAAACCACACTCCTCAGTATTAACCTACGGTTGTAAAGTCTGATTTAACAAATTGACTTCTTTATCACATCCCCACATTTATAAAGCAAAATATGTTTAGTCAGCAACATACATATATTCCAAGATGCTGTTAATTTCTAAATCACTCTACAATTATCTGTAATACCACCTCTTATGAAAATTAATCGTAAAATAAGAATTCTTACATTTTTCCAGAAACACAAATTTTGGGAGCACTTCTATCACCATCTCCCGTGTCAACCATCACAGAGAATGTTCCATCCTCACAAGCTGACTTTAAACCACAATACATAAGGTCTCTCCCTGGTTGAATGGCTCCCATTGACTGAACAGACGGTAGAAAGTCCTCTGCGTTTCCTATAGGTCCCACTGAAAAACAAAGATCCAAATAGATAACTGTCAACTTTTCCAATACCATGTAGGTCCTACAAGTGAACAATAGACATTATAAAGACTTTGACTAGATTGCCTGCTGTTGCTTTATACTTTCCACTATGGCTTCCTTCAAAAATACAATGACATGATTCCTAACATTTAAACAAGAGGAAATTCGGGGCCAAATGTTTGTTGCTTTAACTGATCAAACCCTGCTTTACCTGCATACTGACCAACAGGATGGCCCTGCCCTACTTTCATTTTAATAAGCACAGCTTTGTTAAGAAATATTGTACCATGGACCTAGTTTCAGATATATCCACGTCCGTGATTGCACAAAGGTAAAGACTATCATAAGTCTTAACTAAAACACACAAGACAAAAAAAAGCGAAATAGTTTGTCATCTAATAGTCTTTATAGAGTATTTTTTCAAAAATGACATAGATCAGCGGATATACCTTTCCATTTTCAGAAAGAAAACAAGGCAATAAGTAGGGATGATAATCTGCTTTCAATAAACTCTCCAGGACAAGATATAGACCAGGGGAGGTAATCTGTTTCAAACATTGTCTAGAGAATGAGGCATGAAACAGGGGAAATAATCTGTTTGAACATTTTTTTTTACAGAAATACGTAAAACATATCCCTGGGAAATTATCTCTGGTGCTACCATTTCAACTTAAATAAACAATGCTCTAACCAGTACAGATAATCTCTCCATTCAACAGTTTGAAACAGACAGGGCATAAACCAGGAGAGTATGTCATTGTTGTACAAGACATAAATCAGGGGGAATTCTGTGTGGGTCTGATAGTCCCTATTGAAACAAACAAGACATAAACCAGGGGAGATTATCTGTGTTTCAAATAGTCCTACTGAAACAAAGAAGACAAAAATCAAGGGAGATTATCTGTGTTTCCGATAGTCCCTATTAAAACAAACAATATATAAACCGGGGGAGGGGGGGGGTGTTTATCTGTGTTTCGGATAGTCCCTATTGCATCAAACAAGACATAAACCAGGGGAGATAATCGGTGATTCCAATAGTCTTTATTGAAACAAAGAAGACATTAAGAACACATAGTGACATCTAGTTATAGTACTTACTTGGTAAACCAAAACATCCATGTTTTTCTATGGAAGGAGCAAAGGCACTTGCTTCCCTGGATTTATGCTAGAAATAAAACGATTGTGTTGAGATACTCATGGTAAGATTAATTACCTAACAAATGACGGTGACATACACTTCTACAGTATTACAAGGTTACATGAAATCTAAATTTGTATTCAGTATAGACAAAATATACAAGTTGACAAACAGGCTACGTCTACTATCATGTCGTAAACATCATAAATTAAACAATCTTGAAAAATACTTAGATAAGGAAGAGATAGAGCAATTACAGAAAAAAAATATTTAATTAACAAAATGATACATACAGATACATATTAAAGAAAAATTCATCAGTACAGGGTGTAACCACCAAAGTAGAATATATACTTACAAATTCTATTGCATGGCCTTGAGACAAACCCATCTGACCGATTATCATAAAGGCATCTCGGAACTGTACTTTTGAAATAAGGTTGCTGCCCAATGCAATAAAGACATTTTTCCCTTCTTCTTTCAGGCTTGAAACATGAAGTTACAAAAAACATACATCAGGATATACAGAGCTTATCAGTCAGTGAAGATAATAATACATAGTACAAAAGAAACCTATTTGTCAACATCTTTATGCTAACGCTTTGGGTTAGGGTAACTGTTTTGCTGTTAAAAAACATTTTCATTTTCTAAATTTCTTATTGTCCCAAAAGTTTATACATATCATATATACCCGATATTTGAATCTTTGAAATTAATTAAGGAGGTTATTGTCACAAAGATATATAGGTTTTGAGTTTTTATTCATCTGAATACTTACTACTCGATTTTCGTCTTTAGTGGGTTGGACAAGAAATAATTTTTCACAAAGATGATAAGTTAAAAAATTCTAAAGCAAAACATGTGTAAAGCCTTAACAGTATACTAATCGTACAAAACTTCACAACAATCAGGTAGTGTTAAATAGATTAAAAATGTCCCGTAATGGAAATACACAAAATGTTACAAAGTAATGTCAATAAAATAGACATTGTGCAAGAATATAGATGTAACAATTAATGATACCTGGGTCCGTCATTCAGGCGACTCGGGTAGCGCGGTGCACACGCAATTTTTTTATTTTCGTAGGTGTAAGGATTTTTTCCTATAAGCTTATTAAGTTTTGTTGAAAGAATTTTAATAATAATCAATTGAAATGAATATTGATAATTTCGTTTGCTATTCAATGCAAACCAGTATTTAATCACTGAAGTTGTTTTCAAATGTAAGCAAGTTGCCCGTGCTTATGAAGAACAATACATGTTTTTGTTAAATGTTAAATGGTGTGGTAATAAATCATGCGGTACCCTCTGTCGCTGTGAAAATACAGTTAATGGTTGTTGTTATTATTATCCTATTGGATAATTAAAAGGAGAATGGTATAAACATGGTTTATAAAACAGCATACAAAATATAAGTCATTTGTATGATAAATCATGATTATTAATGCATGAATTATGCAAATATTTGAACTATCCTTTGCCTTTAAGTTGACAATATTGAATTTCAGGCTAGTTAGGTGCAGTAAATGTAGTTTCAGGATAGAATATCATATCATTACATACCGGGTAGAAATTTGCTGACTGTGTAATAATAACAGTTTTACATTACGATATCTTGTGTTCTTAAAAAAATCAGTGTCGCCAACTCACCTGATTTTTTCAGGTCAACCTGATATTGGCCATAGAACATCATCAAAATGCATGATTCAGATGTGATAACTAACAATAGATTTGATTATAACATAATTTCACTTGATGAACGTTTAATGCCTCCGGCACCATTGATTTTGAAGGCTATGACCAGATATTAGTACCTGATTAGAGGTTGAAAAAAACCGCTGAAGATTATCAGTAAAAATGCAAATACCTGGTATATTGCATTCTTTAAGATGAAAAATTACAATATGTACGTAATCTGTTGACGAAGTCAGAAGCTTATAAATCTTAGGATCTGTTCAGTTATTAATTGCAAGTATGATTCTCAAGAAGTCCATGATTGATCTTCTTTAAATTTCATATGTTGATTGCCCTTGTTCCGTATTTGTGTCATCTTGATTGTTTGGACCAATCAGAAAGTAATGAAAAATAAAGCTGACAAGCAGAAGTTAATAATTAAAACAAGAGGCCCATGGGCCTTAATGGTCATCTGACATAAAATACAAGATTTCAACTTTTGAACTTGAGAAGAAGTCGAAACTGTATTTTCAAGATGGCGGCCATGTTGGATTTCGGACAAACCCGAAATTAACAAACTTTGGTCAGGATCATGTCACAATCATTTCATGTAAGTTTCAGCTCAATGAGACATGTAGAACTTGAGAAGAAGTTGAAAATGTTTATGACGGACGCCGCCGGACAAATGGCAATCGCAATAGGTCGTCAGACCCTTCGGTCAGATGACCTAATTAAGTGCTGATTGTAATCTAAACCAAATACAGCCCTCGTCTTAATTATCAAAATCTTATATACTATTTACCCAGGCTAAGGATTGTGATAGAAAATATATGTGTTGCCACAGGTAAGTATCGTGAAATTAATGTGAAGCATTGTTTTTAGTGTTAGTTCATAAATCATTCGAAATACCACAATACAATAGACATATTATCAGTCTTGGTAATATAACTAGGACTATAATATACTCTACATTCACCTAGGATTCTCCATATGGAACCTTAAATATATCATGAACATATAAATTAATAAACATTATAGCATTTTTTTCTAATTCATTTCCCTCCTCACATCCCCATCCCAACCCCCGACCCCCTTCAGTATTCTGTTTCACATTAATTCAAATCTTTTCAGTCTAGAAAATACAAGTCAAACAACAATTTTGAATGAGATTTCAAAGATATTATTATGGGTTTTCCTTTTTTATTTACCAGTTTAAGGTAACAATTTCTATAGAAGATACTCCTTCATAAGAAAAGTAGATAACAACATAAACAAGTCTGTAGAAGCTAGTCTGCAAATTTTTCCTTACTGTGAATTATTGTGCTCAGAAAGCAACTATTTGTCAGAACAATCATGTTAGAGAGATTCACAATATACTCACAGTAAACATGTTGTATTGTAGTTATCTATTTATTCAATAACACTAGAAATCAATTTTTTAATCAGATATGTAAAATATCTTACAACTTATTTTGTTTTACAATACAATTTAACTGTTATCTTCCATCAGTATGTAACCACTTATCACTGACATTACATGTCTTATTTTTCATTTTTCTTTTTTCATTCAATTTAATTTTCTCTTAATAAAATCACATTTATTTAAGATCTTTCCACTTCATACTATCTTCAGTTTTACCCAAAGTTTCATCAAAAATATTTTTGAAAGATCCATCACGATCACATCATACTTGATTTTTGTTGTTGTTATCTCCCCCTGAAATTTTCAGTATGATTTTTTTACCTCTTTTTGGACATAAAATTAAAGAATTATAAATGAATTCAATTTTCTATGTCCCATTTACCGAAAGCTGGTTTCTTAGTGTGTTTAGAGATCTTTTTCCTTTACCTATATATAGGAATTCTTTTGAACAATAAGAAATGCATCTTACTCACCCTTCTGAAATTTCATCATAGCTGACAGCCAAAACCAGTGTATTTCTTGGCACCTTCTCTCTGACATATCGAAGTAGAGGATACACTGTATGAAATGAAAACACTCTGGTTACCATTTTACCTCTGATAAACCTATGCTAGGAATCCTTGACCCCCATTCTTTACCATACACACTTATCTATATAGTGTGTGTACTTTATCTACGTGTATATATCAATAAAGTTTACATAATTTGGGAGCCAGCTTTGGTTTCACAGGCAACATTCCCGGAAATTTCCATTACATTTGAAATTCATAATGACATATACTTATTTAAAAATATTGTTGGTAATAATGCAACCCTCCTCTTATAGTTTTTGCCATTAAATTAAGAACTTGCATTTTCCTTCACACTTTTTTCCTACCAAGTTCATTCAGCTGTGACCTACAAATACATATGCTAGTGAAGACAAGATTTTTTAACAAACTTTACAACCAAACCTATGGAGTAAATACAAATTAAAAATTTTTACTTTATAAGAAAGTATAATTTCTTCTTTATACAGAAACACTTCTTTAACAGTTAATCATAATGCTTGGATATCCAATGTATTTGTATATTACATAACAGCATGGTATTCTTCAAAACAGCGATGAACTGATATATGATTTATTAAAAACTGTATATAACAGAACTACTGCATCAATTTTTCCTTATTGATATAAATGTATTTCATCAGATGTAAGATAGATCTTCAAAATTAAACTAGAAATTAGTAAATGCCAGAGAAATAGAAGTATCTGCTACGAACAAAGGTATCAATGTTTGAAGAATTTGCAGAAGTTGACAAATGAGACCTCTGACCTCTAACCTATAGCCACTTCACTTTGGACTACATGGAGCCTACACATCAAGTTTGAAAAATATTTTTCCGGTACTTATCAAGAAACAGTGCTGACAGTTGTCAAAGTCAAACATGATAGCCTGTCAGCCATTTTGTTTTCTCTGATTATACTGAAAACTGAATGGGCACGACTAGGGATTATTGGTGACATACACATTAAGTGTGAGAAATATCCACTGGTACCTCTCCTGAAAAGGCAATAAAAAACTTCTAGTGTTAAAATGCTGTTGGTACTATTGTTTTACTGATCACTCCTAAAGTAAAAAGGGCACAAACTCAGGCTAAGGGAACATACACATCAAGTTTCCGAAGTCTTCCAATCATGATCTGAAGGAAAAGTGATCAACTAATTATCAAAATGAAAGATGGCTGCCTATTGTTTCAGCAACAAGTCTCAAAATTAAATTGACACAACTAGGAGCCATGGGCTACATAAACATCAAGAAATATCCCTCAAGCAACCTTTCAAGAAATAACAATAAACTAATTTTAATGGTCAAAATCCAAGATGGCCACCTGTCAGCCATTTTATTTCACTGATCAGAATGAATTGACACAACCTGGGACAGATTGGAATTTTCTTATAATGTTTGGGAACTATTCCTCCAATACTTCTCAAACTGTCCAAATCCAAGATGGTCACTTGTTGACCTTCACTGATTAGACTCAAAATTTGCTACAACTACGAACTATTGGAAACTTACACATCAAGTTTGTGAAATAGCCTTACGGTATTTCTCAAGAAAACAAGATGAAAATTATCACTTCCTAAGATGCCTGCCTGTCAGCAAGTTTGTTTTTCTGATCTGTCCCAAATTAAAAAAGGGCACAACATGGCACTAGGAGAAACTTCCAAAGTTTGAGAATTATCTATACAACATGTACACTTCTCCAGAAATAGTGAAAACAAACTCTTGGAGTCAAAATCTAACATAGCTGCCTATCAGTCATATCATTTTTCAGGTCTTTTCCAAAATCAAACAATGCACAACTAGGAACCAAGGGGAGCTTGCGTCTGAAATTTGAAAATAATCCATCTAATACTTATCAAGAGATACTGATAACGAGAATTGTTATAGAACAGACAGAGGGGTGCCAAACCACAAGGTATGGTCATTTTTTTAATAGCCCATCTTTAATGGTGGGCTAAAATTTAGAAATGATGCCAGATGAAGTTGAAGACTGAGTATTGTTTATGTACAACAGACAGACCATGGACTGTGGACATTGGGCAATCTGGTGATAGTAGACTAATATGATGGCAAGGGTATGAAAAATACCATATTGTGTGTTGAGCTTTCCAAGCTCACTTTTTCACATTCTAAGTGCCAGCTTCACATATATACAATATACACTGTTAAACATATACTTTACAACACCAGATAAATATCACTTGTTTGCTTTTGCCTTCATCATAATATAAATTTGTTGAATTTACAAAAAAAAATATATTGAAGCTGTTTAATTAATTATATACTTACCATCAAGATATGTATCAAATGTTTGCTGGTCTTTTATTTCCAATGTATCTGCTGTAATATCAAAATAACATCATCATCACCTACATTAGACAATTGTGTAAGTTTATATATTATGTGGCATATAGTATCATTTTATGAAGTCATCATTATACAACCCTGTGCTCTTGAAATAGTTCCTTCTTCTAACAGCCAATCAGAACTTAAATTATCTTTTTTTCAGACAGTCCCTTTATCAGCCAGCCAATCAGAACTTAAATAATTCATTTTAGACAGTCAATCAGAATTATCAAATAGTCCCTTTATCAGCCAGCCAATCAGAATCAATACAGAAAAATAAATTCCCATTTCAGACAGCCATTCAGAATATAAGGAGTTTCTAATCATTTGTATGTGTTAGACATAATTATAATCAAATCTTGTTGGCTACCATGGTTACGCAGTGCATTTAATTAGTCTTCTTAATTATTATAAGTCAATGAATATTTTAAGGAAGAATCTTCAAATACCAAAAGATATTAGCATTAATAATAAAGCTTAATTTTAAACATAAGAATTCATCAATCCTATATCAGGATCATAACCAGTTGATCATTCCAGTCATCTAAAACTGTACACCTATTATGGCTGTGTACAGCTCATTTCACATACACGTTTAACATATAAACATTCAATATAAAACACTGGGTTTTTAAAAATGTTTAGAATCTCTAACATTATAACACCATGAAAACCATTAATAATTTTCATCAAGTTTTACAATATTGATATCTTACAACTGCAAACCAAACAACTGCATGGACATTAATATAAGTAAAATTTGTGATAATTATAAATAAATAAGATACTTGGAAACCTTCAATATCAATTCTTTAAATCTAACTGTAGCCCTTTCATTTGGCTGCACAATCACCAAACAGGGGCATTGTTTATTTTTCATTACAAATGAAAGATATGAATTTTTCTTCAAATTTAGCATATTAATTAGGCAAGATCAACCTTTGTAATTAATATTACTAGAATGAATACTTACGATCTATAAACACAGCATTTATACCACGGGCAGCGTTCTGAAGTTCAGGGCTGAACAGTCTGTAAATGCATCATAAAATGATTAAGGATAAAATGCACCATAAAATGATTTAGGATAAGTCTAGAGGAGAAAAGAGGAAGGAGATCTGTTTATAGAAATGTGAGGGAAGCCATTGTTGTGAAAGTAATCGCTACTAGAAAATCATGTTTTCTAATTTTATGTAGAGGGGGGGAGGGGGGAGGTTGGGGGGGCGGGGGGGGGGGTGATAAAACCCTGTATTGCTTGTGTTGATTTTTGTGGTACCTGTACATGTGGAATCTTATCAACTTATCAATAGACTTACACCCTGCCATTGAAACAGACTGTAGGTGCAACATTCATTCCTGTTCCTGTCTTTATCATGAATGAGGCTTGACCAACAGGACATCGGACGCCACAAGGAGCATCTGTTGAAGAAAATTCTATTTCAGTGCTGATGGATGTTTTTGATTTATAGTAAGATAAGGTCTAAACCTTTACATCCTGATGCAATATTACAGGTTAGTCTTTAAATTTTCAGTAAGACTGCAAACCAATCTGTCTAAATAAGTCTGATATATATCTACATCTTATATCAATTATCAAATAAATACATCTTTATTTCATAATAAGAAGTGTTCAAATTCCAAAACAAACTAATTAAAAGTTAAATCTTTTAAGATGATTTAACAGATTACCTGTGCTATTTTTTGACAACATATTGCCGTCCCACACCTGTCTCACACCTGTAATTATAATGAGGAAGACAAATATATGTGACATATATAAGAATTAGTATTATGAAAAATCTATGTTCAGATCTTTATTCTTGATAGTGCCAAATGTCAACCAACCTGATTGAAATTAAAGTACAAATGTACCCGAGTGCAGTAGTCATACTAACTTTCCAAAAGAAACAACCTATCTCTTCCCAAGGGAGCTAACTTAGTCCATCCTAAGTTGAGTAAAATTAGAACATTTCATATTCTGCCTCTATGATTTAATAAATCAATTACTTGAGTCAGATTTACTTTATCAACATCATTAATTTACCTCGGTTTAGTAACATTGCATGACCTCTCAGAGATAATACTGTATATACATGAACATATACCTACTACTTGAATAAAGTAAGATTGACCTTCAGCTAGGGCAATATTGACCTACTTTTATTGTATTTGAGTAGCAATATCCAAAACAGGAAGTCATATTGATCTTTCTGTAGTGTGATATATATGGTATATTCCATAAAAGGGATCAGTTGAATGTGGATTGAGAACTTCAATAATGGTTTGATAAACCTTGAATAACTGCTTCAAAAATAAGTCTTTTCTATAGCAGTACTTGATTTTTCTTCTCTGAACAATACTAGAAACAAAATTAAATAATGATAACAATCCTTACGACACGATGTTATATATGTATACACTATCCCTAAAAACAAATCTCTTTTTTCGTGGCAGTATATTGTGTACTGGAGAAGACAACAACAGTGTGTTCTATAGCCCAGTTCTGAAGAGAACTATCTTCAGTATGTACCATCATTACCAATGACAGTTAGGACTACTTACATCTGTCTCGATCTAGGATGTCAACTTACCATTGTTGAGAACAGGAGATCTGTAGTAATACAATGTCATACACAGCATAACAAGAATGGTGCACAGGATGAGTTTTCTGTAACCTGCAAAATTAGGGAAATAAATATGTTAAGGAGACACGTGCATTACTAAAAACAGATTCAAGTCTGTAGTGTACTGATGAGAATACCATAAGAATATGTAATTGTCACATTACGTTTGTAAGAAAGACACACAAGTGAAGAGCACATTTTTACATTTCACAAATTTAGAATTATATATAAAGCCAAATAATGATTTTTCTGTACTGCTGATATGTCTTTCAAGTTTGATGTCATGCTAATAAGGAACTAAAATGTTGAAGCCTAGAAGCTAACAGAGGAAAATCCAAAATGGTCCAAATGACAAATGCAAGCATGTGTGTATATTCTGAACTGTGCCACTATTGGAATGTATCAGAATTACAGTATATCAATTACGTAATATATTCTGCTACAGACGGATATATGTCCCCAACTTTTCATATTATTTTGCTTACCTCCAAATCTCCGTATGGTGCTACGCCTCACTTTTCTGTATATATACATCATGTCTGACGTTTTGAGCAGATAACCATATGCATCCCTCTTATTTTCTCATATGTCACTTGTTTCTGAATAAACAAATATGTACCAGTCAGTCTATAAAAGTAATGATAGAAATTAATCGGACAGACTGAATAACAACTAGAATAACATAATTCAATTTTATAAATACAATCAATCTCAAAGCATATCGCAATGAGAGATAACACTACATTGTGTTCATTTTTAAAAAGTTACGAAGATTGTTGACTAACATCCCTAACATCAATATATAGAAAAGTATCACAGTTTGTCAAGACATTATTCCAAAGTGTAAACTTCATGACCAACAGAAAATATCTTTTGGTATTTGGCTACCACCCGGTAAGTGTATGCCTTTCTTTGTTTTTCTTTTAAACTTTTACAACAATCTAAAACAAGTATTTCCAACTTATATGCTTGGTGTCCTAGACTTGAACGCGCTAGGGGTCTTACTGCAAGGGAAAACCAGTAAACCCTGATGAAAACACATATAGTCGGATAGGTTACTCCTACCCTTTCCCCGCCATCTGTTCGGAGAATCAAACCATGGATGTCTCGATGAAAGGCAAGTATGTTACCTGTTACCCGACCATTCTTTGCCACACCAATCCATCCCCCTGGGCTTTTATGTAGGGCAAAAGATCTCATTAAACATGTAGAGTGGTAGCTAAGGAACATAGAAATGTCTTATCAGCCACACAGAGGATCCAACAACGGTTTTAAAGTATTGGTACAGATATGAAGTATTCTACCCAAAAGAGCCTTGCCCGAATAACTACATGTATATATTCATGTATAAATTTATACCTATTATTTTATGTCTACGCCGTTATTACAGTAACTGTAGATAGGTGATATACACGTCAATTCCTTGGTCCTGTATTGTACATGTTGAGCGGTAAACAGGAGTAGTATGGTGAACCTGCTCTCATCAAATACACACATGATGAAAGTCACCACAATGTTTTGATTTTATTATTCATATGTAGTGAAACTAACTTTGTATATCAATGCAATTTTTATTGTAATGGTAATGAAAGCCTGGACAGTCCCTGCATTGCAAATAACAGTTGCGATATCAGTGACTTAAAATACCAATAACTTTTTAATAAATTTACATCATTTCTGAATTATGATATTAATTTTAGTCACAAGAATATATGTAAGACAGATTTAATGATGTGAATAGAAATAAAAACCTGGGCGGAAACTGAAAAAACTGATTTGTTAGACTTTTACAACAAACTTCTCAGATTCTCAGAGATGGCAACCAAAAATTTATTTGTTTGAAAAACGTCAATATTGTGTGTAAAAATAATTTATCTCAAGAAGCATTGAATAAAAAGTTATTTTATACAGATGTGTAAGTTCTGATGTATAGAAGAAGTGTCTTAATTACAAGCTTTATTGAATATATATTTTCAGATGTCACAACTGAGCGTATTGGAAATATAAAAATGATTTTTTCAGCATGTTTATTCTGTAGGTGTTTTAGTTGTCATGATGATAAGTTCAGAGTTGCTAAGTCATTTGAATATCTAGACAACTAAAAATACCTTTCTATCAACATAATCATAATCCAAACTCATACTCAATAAAACTAGAGCAAAATAGATACAAAAGAAAGGTTTACACAGAGACTACTGAAAAAGTACAAGGAAAATAAGACCAGGAGATCCCAAAGAGTATGCATCTCATGCTTCAGTGGCAACATCCATCGTGCCAAGTAAGTAATGTCACATTCTGAAAACAAGTATCAAATATGTCCTGCTTCATATCACACAAAGAAATAGAATATTTCTCAATGACATCACTATGGCGACCATTAAACTTCTGCATAATTTTCATCAACCTGCAACTTTTGAACCCTTGTCTTACGAGTTTGACCATCAATTGGCGACTTCATGCATTAAAATCATGATAATGGGAACAGGCCCTTCAATATCGAATAAAATGTGACATATAAATACCATAGGTTGGAGATGCAGGGATAATGCTATCAAGAAATTGAAAATTTGCAATAGGTGGAAAGCTGTCCACGTGGGTTTTGTTGTAGGAAAAGATCGAGGTAGGCATTAAGATGTAGAAAAGTCTGCTGTGTCTCTGATTCCATTTCTGGTGGGTATATACGATGGACATGGTTGATAACTTTCTTGTTACTCAAAGACAAGACGTGTTCAATGTAAGCATATTGTGCTTCATCGACAACACCTTCTATGTAAATCTTGGTCAATCCATGTAAGTATTGTCACATTCTCATTTGAGAACAAGCTTCATATCATACAAGTAAGTAGAATATTTTTCATTTGGATCACTCTGACAAATTTTGACTAAACTTATTTATCATTTTTCATCAACCTTTCATTTGAAACACTGTGTTACGAATTTGTCAGTCATTTTACAACTTCTTGCAGGAAGATAATTCTAAAAGGAAGAGCCCATATTGATACAGCCGCTCACCCTTCGCCGAATAGAAAACTCTCACGGCAAGGGAACAAAGGCATCCTTTCAGATTAGAGTTGGCTATAGTAGTGTACAGAGTTGAAAAATCAAATTTTCTTGAAGAAATGCATTTAGAAGAATGTGGTGAAGATTAGTCAGAAACTCTTAGGAGTTCTTTAAAACCCACCTATTAATTTTGCTTCTCAAGTAACAGTATCACAATAAGGCTGTAACCCAGATTTCCTAGTTCTAAGAATGGTGGTGACAAAGGTTTTGTTTAACAGCTAGACTGAGCTAAAGGCTATTATACAAACACCAGTGTATAGTGGCTTGGTTACGATGGCAACCTAAATATCTTTTAAGAACAAGAGATTCAAGAGGGATCTTGGTACCCACCGTCATTTGATGTTCATATGCTCTTTGAAAGTTGGATCTTTCCCTTCTTTTTTCTTCTCTGTTTTTGCTCTTAATGATAAGACATTTGAACATCCCTTTGCAGAAATAGCAATGATAATCTTTACTTGCCAAATCCAAAATGGCTGTCTGGAAGCCATTTTGTTTCCTCTGATCAGTCCAAAAATCAAACGAGCTCCAGTAGAGACCAAAGGGAACATACGAATGAAATTTGAGAGACATCCATTCAGTACTTGCTCTTTGAAAGTTGGATCTTTTCCCTTCTTTTCTCTTCTCTGTTTTTGCTCTCAATGGAAAGACATTTGAACATTCCTTTTCAGAAATAGCTATAACAATCTTTACTAGGCAAAATCCAAGATGGCTGCCTGTCAGTCATTTTGTTCTTCTGATCAGTCCCAAACTCACACAGGCACAACTAGGGACCTATTCATGAAATTTGCGAAAGACCTATAGAGTACTTCTCTCTCTCTCTCTCTCTCTCTCTCTCTCTCTCTCTCTATATATATATATATATATATATATCAAAATGATTTTTGACAAAAGAAGAAAGATGTTACATTTTGCACTAGCTCTTTCACTGTATTAGATCTTCAGGTGCATAGTAACTGTACATAATGGTGTGGCATCACAACATGTTATCTGTTGATGACGTCATAATATAAAAGGGGCATAATTATATTTTGCAAACTGTACAATGCGGTTAAACATTAATATTCAAGTCTGGTTTTAAAATGTTTATAATTTCTGACTACTTGGCTTCTCTTTGCATTCGATTGGTTTCAGATGAAAAAGTATACAGGGGGAAGATTTGGAAAAAGCCGTCGTTGCATCCTGCTTTGTGTCGGCTGATTGGTAGATGTCTACATCTTTCGTGGGATATTTGTTCGCGATGTAATGTTACGCGTTTGCGGAGGTTTTCTGTTTGTCCTATATAGAAACTTCCACATTTTGGACAAAGGATTAAGTAAATCACTTTTTTTGATTTACAGTTCATACTGCTTTTAACTTCCCACTTCTTTCCACTTTTTAATTGTAAGGAAATCCCTGTTATGATATATTGACACGTTCCACATCTCTTATCTCGACAAGTATTGACTTCCGGTAACTTTGTTTCTGATGAAAATGATGCACGTGTTAGATATTTTTTCAAATTTTTTGGCTGAGGGTAGCTTGCTCGCTCAGAGCCTTCTAAAATGTTCATATGTTGTTTGACCGTTCCTTTGATTTGAGGGTTACTGGGGTTGTATGTCATGACAAGCGGCAGTACCTTCTCATCGTTTTTTTCTTTCGGTGTTCTGAGTTCCGCAATAGGAATTTTTGGACATACTGCTCTTCAAAGACAACGGGGAATTTTGCACAGATATCCATTACAAATCCACGGACACACACCAGTATTTGAATTTCCTTTCTTCACATCCGAGGCACACAAGAGAAAATATCCCATTCTGTCTAGCCCGATGAATATGCACAATTATAGAAAAAGATGCTTTAAGAAGACAAAGACTTGAGGAACTAAGAAAGTTTCTGATGGAACAAAATTATCCACAGTCCCTGATCAATAACGGCATCAGGAGAGCCTCCGAAATTCCAATAGCGGAACTCAGAACACCTAAAGAAAAACACGATGAGAAGGTACTGCCGCTTGTCATGACATACAACCCCAGTAACCCTCAAATCAAAGGAACGGTCAAACAACAAATGAACATTTTAGAAGGCTCTGAGCGAATGAAAAACATTATGAAAAATACCAAATTTATCGCAAGCTACCGTCAGCCAAAAAATTTGAAAAAATATCTAACACATGCATCATTTTCATCAGAAACAAAGTTACCGGAAGTCAATACTTGTCGAGATAAGAGATGTGGAACGTGTCAACATATCATAACAGGGAATTCCTTACAATTAAAAAGTGGAAAGAAGTGGGAAGTTAAAAGCAGTATGAACTGTAAATCAAAAAACGTGATATACTTAATCCTTTGTCCAAAATGTGGAAGTTTCTATATAGGACAAACAGAAAACCTCCACAAACGCGTAACATTACATCGCGAACAAATATCCCACGAAAGACATTGAAATCTACCAATCAGCCGACACATGGCAGGATGCAACGACGGCTTTTTCCAAAT